AAAACCAGGGCACTTTACATGATTCAATAATAACTCCTTTAGCATTGCATAGGGAAGTGAAATAGGTTTTTCTGGATATGCCAAGGTTTTCAATAAGCTGTACGCTTCTTCTCCGATGAATGTTAGGAAATGAGCCACAATTTTATCATCTTTGACATCTTTCCTGGTCATACTCCAGATTTCAAACCTTTCCAAATAATCTTCAAAAGCTTCAGCAGTAGAATGAATATCTAGCTGTTCCATTACAAGTTCCATCGCGACGCCACTGTGATGCTTAGAAGTATATGAATCAAGAATTAAAGATATGCACAAACGAATGCATTGTATTTAGAATTCGAAATCAAGCATTTCACAACAACAAGAAGCTACTAGTTCATTCAAACACCACAGTATGTCATCTTACCTCCGTGCACGATTTTTCAGTTTTATACATCATAACAACTCCGTATGATGTTAACTATTTTCTCAGGCACACCGTAGTGTCGAAGAAGCCTCCACAGTGTTTTCCTGTCCACGCTATCGAATGTTTTGTCATATTCGATGAAGTTGATGTAGTGTAGTGCGTTTAATTCAATTGATTGTTACATAATGTTCCGTAATGTTGCAATTTGGTCGGTACACGATCGATTCTTACGAAATCCAGACTGTTGGTCTCGAAGTTGGGCGTCTGCGAAGTCTTTCATTCTGTTTAACAATACCCTGTTGAAGACTTTGTCTGGTATTGAGAGAAGACTGATGCCTGTGTAGTTCTCACACTTGCTGAGATTGCCCATCTTTGGTACTTTGATCAGGCATCCTCCTTTCCAATCTGATGGGACCTGTTCCTCATCCCAAATCTTCTTGAGGAGAATTTGAAATACTTTCGCAGTTGCTTCAACGTCTGCTTTCATTGCCTCTGCTGGAATGTTGTCTGGTCCTGCTACTTGGCCGCTCGTGATTTGTCTGATGGCCATGCTGATCTCTTCAATTGTAGGTGCGCCAATATTAATTGGGAGGTCCGTGGATGCTGCTTCGATGTCTTGTGGGTTCAGTGGAGTTGGTCGATCAAAGAGTTCCTTAAATTGCTCTACCCACCTATTTTGCTGTTCTTCAATGTTGTTTATTACTTTGCCTTCCATGATTTTCACTGGTCGTTCTGGTTTACGATAGTTTCCGGCGAGCTTCTTTGTTGTTTCGTACAATTGTCTCATGTATCTTCCTCTTGCAGACTTTTCCGACATCATTGCTAGATCTCACACATATTTATGTTTTTCGACTCTGATGCTCTTCTTCACTTTCCTGTTTGCTTCTGTGTATTCAGCATGTGCCCTAAATTTCTGTGCTCTTGTTCGGCTGACATTGATTGCTGCCCTCTTGTCCCTCCTTTCTTCGATTCTTTCAAGAGTACCAACACAGATCCACTCCTTGTGATGGTGCTTCTTTTGACCAAGAACTTCGTGACATGTTGAAGTGATTGCCTCCTTCATCCCTTTCCAATCGTTCTCCAAATGTTGCATCCTCTGCATTGGGTAAATCGTGCAAGGCCTGGTACTTATTGCTGAGGGTTATCTTGAATTTGTTGAGTTTTACGGTATCCCGAAGAAAGGCTGTATTAAACTTGTGTTTTCACATCCTCCATGGTTCTTCTGAACTTTTGACTGATACGGATATGGTCGATTTTGTTCTGAGTAGTGTGATGCGGTGAAATCCATGTAGCTCTATGTATGCGCTTGTGTGGGGATATTGTTCCGCCGAAGAAGATACGCTCGTTCTCCAAACTTTCTATCGAACCAGCACGATGCACACGCACCACGGATATTTGCTTGCTTTGCAAGATCTAAGAAGATTCAGCACTAGCACTTGGGACGAAGGATGGGCTAAGGATTCTTTAACACATGAACCTACATCGAATTTTACGACAGATCAATCAGTACGAACCTATACTCAGTTATCTATCTCAATATCTTCAAGTAATCAAGCAAATCAACAACCGCATAAAAAGTGGCCAAGTTTTACAGTGAAACGTCCAGTTAGACTAGGTTCTAATTCATCTTCCATAGTTGCAGAATAGGCTGGGACGGGAAAATTATCTTCTATTTCACGCCCAACTATCTCTGCCAAATCAGGATCGCAAACCGACCGGTTTGTCTTGCTCGTTCTTTATCTGCCGAGCGTCAACTTTCAAATCGAGAAAAAACTTAAAGATTCTAAGTTCGAAACATGTGATGAGGAAACAGGTTATGATATTTGTGACCCAACGGTTTACCCCGAAAGTGCTAATAGCTTCTTAAAGCTGACCAATCAATATATTGTAGGTCTAATTTAAGTTACGTCTATCTTAATGTTTGGTACCAATAATGTGCTTTTAAACTGGAACGTCAAAACAAATTCGATTACCTCTGGCGTTCCGAACGAAGGCAGGTTATTTTATTGCTTAAAACAGATTGTTTGGTTAGTATACTCGACTAAATCTTTTCTCAGGGTGCTCTTTTTAAAATACTTTCTATGTCGTGTGATTTAAAATTATCTGAATATATAGTCTTTAAGAGTTCGTACCTAATAATTTCCATCTAGAAAACTTCTTGTTATCCCGATTCTAGTTCGGGTGTCAGCGTTATGCTAATATTTTCTTCGAAATGTTCACATTTCAAAAGTTATGGAGGAATAATTTAAATCATCAGTCGTTTCAATCTTCTGTCAAGATTTATAAAATGCAGCGCATCAGTAAATTATGATTTCATTAACATGCACAAATAAATTATCGTATTCTTACAACCGGTCGTAAATTTAATTTTTGTTTTCAATATCCACGTAATTGCTGTGGTCTCGAAATAATGTCATGTGATGGACTTATATCCATTATTAAGATTTAATCTTGGCATCGACCAATATTATTGATGTATTTAAGCAGTTCCTCAAGTTCTAATTAAACTTAAATTCTTTTAAGTCATTTTTAATCATGTTCGTAATCTTTTTGCAGTTTTAAACTGTTATTATTCTTGAAAGTACTTCCGATGTAGTGAAGATATGCAATTACAAATGTATGTAAATGTAAAATGTTCTTATTTACGACCGAAGCTGCTACCCTGACGTGGTGGTCGGGCTTTCCTATCGTGATGACCCAAACGAGCTATATTGGCTGGAACATATGTTCCTGTAGGTTCTACCATGCCAGGCAGGTCGATTAGAAAACGCTGAGACTAAAAGCAGCTACCCAAGGTCTGAGGGCGAAGTCGTACTCCTGACTGTAGAGGGGTGTGACAGCAATAGGGTGTTTCCCTCGGACAACCAGCATTTTCAGCGATGCTGCCTTCTCACAAGGAAGGAAGGGCTTAGAAAACGTCGACCCTTAAAATGTCACACCTCACCCTACCTCATTGATTTCCGTCTCCGTCGGTAAGGGTGCCCACTAAGGGCTTTCAAGAGCAGAGCTAATACTCCGAAATCCTTTCATAAAAAGGCCGTGCGTGACCGGCTTCAAGCAGTTGTCCCTTTGACTCTGCGGTCACGCTCCCAGGTCTCTAAGACCAACACTAATCTACCTTCCTTTTCAGGTCCCTCAAGAAACAACCTTCCACGGTGTGGGCAACCGGGAAGTGACAACCGCCTCCATACTCGTAACAACACACGAGACCAAATTGGTCAAAATCAAATCCTTCCTTCACTCCCTAATACCTCTCTTCTCTCCACGACTAACTCTAGTCTCATTCCTTCAGCTCACTGCACTGCTAATGCAAACGATTCGAGTTCACCAAACGTCATTCTTGGTTTCCTTAAACCCCATTCTAAACTACATGTTAGAGCATTTAATGTGCGGACATTGTGTCAAGTAGGGCAACAGGCATCATTAACTAGGACTTTAGAATCTCGTGCCATCGATGTATGCTGCGTCTCGGAAACGCGTATACATGATCCTAGTAAAATTATTAATCTGATTTCATCTTGTCAAAATAAAGAAGCATCCCGATTTACTCTCGTGTATCCGGTAGCCCTGATGCTGCTTCCAGGGGTCTCGCTGGTGTAGGTATAGTATTGAGTCGTAGGGCAGAACTAGCTCTCCTAGACTGGATCCCTTGAAATAGTCGCTTGTGCGTTGTAGGACTAAACGGGACAGTAAGGATTCCGAAAGATCGGGACACCCGTCGTTGCCTCTTCGTCGTATCTGCCTATGCCCCCACTGACTGCAATTCAGACGAGGTGAAAGATGAGTTTTACAGAAAGCTTTCGAACCTCTTTCAAAAAGCTAAGCGTTCCCATGTAGTAATAATGGCTGGTGACTTTAATGCCTAGGTAGGTAGACTAAGTGAGCAGGAGAGACACCTTGGTGGATGTTGTGGTGTCGCGGCTCAGAGAACAGACAAGTGCGACTGTCTGTTGCAAGTATGCTCAGATAACCACCTATTTCTAGCAAACACTAACTTTAGGCATAAGGAAAAGCATTTGTTGACCTGGGGACCCCCAAAGTCGTCTCAACGTTGGACCCAACTAGATCACATCGCCATCAGCCACCGATGGAAGGGTTCGATAGAGGACTGCCGCTCGTTCTGGGGCACATGTTTAGATTCAGATCATGCCCTAGTGCGAGCTCGTATTTGTTTGAGGCTTACTGGACGTAGGAAAGACACCGCAAGGAAACCTCTTAGGTTTCTACTAGTAAGGTAAACCATTTGCTTAGGATGAAGCCGTGCATCTCAGTAGCATCTACCGAACTGATCGAGGCTCGAAAACTCATCCCACCTGGCTCTGAACATGATGAAAAGCGAAGTCAGCCTAGCGCAGGCTGATAAAATGCCTACGTAACGACCGTGAACGGTGGTGGGTGGCGAAAGCAAAAGCGATGAAAATGGAAGCGTCGATGGGCAACAACAGATATTTGTACCGACTTATCAAGGAAACTGGTATTAGGAATCCTAGTGTAAGTGAGACTATATTGAAAAAGGATGGTCTCATTATCCATCCTCAATCCAGGACACTGGACCGATGGGCGGAACAATTAAGGGGTCATTTCATCTGGCCTCAAGTCACTCTTCGGTTTCCCAAGATAACCAGTCATCCTGAACGACATATCGACGTAAGTCCCTCTAGTTTTAATGAAGTTGAGAAAGCGTTGGGAAATCTGAAGCGAGGGCGAGCTGCAGGTCCTGAAAGACTGACAATTGAGGTACTTAAGTATGGTGGTATCTGTCTGTCTGTCTGCTGCACGATGCCCAATTTAGCAGTCCGTATTATTCTACATTGTGCAGAGTTACTTATACATAAAGTAAATGAATATGACGCAGCATAAATAATTAATAAACTGCAATATCTACACTGTAACAACGTTTTAAGGTAGTAGACTAAGCTGCAGAGTTATTATGATCACCATACTCATAATTGACAAACAATAAAAGGTGTTGTGCAACAGTGTGAATAAACAAAATGAAAGCTTGATATTAAAATTTGATAAACACCGTGGATTTTCAATAAAGATACATAACATGAATTCGCAGAGAATGACTTCCAAAGTTTCATATACTCATCTCTTCTCGGTAATATGAATAAAGAGTCTTCAAGCTTCATGAAGTAAAGATTGTTGGTGTATTTCTTGAATTATTAAAGTCTATTAAAAATAAACTGACAATATCACACAACAATTCTACATCATCTGTCTGTTATTGGTTGGTTTATTTCTAACAAATACTTAACAGAACATAAGCGATAGTATTTCAGTGAACATCACTACAAGAATAATAATGGTAATAAGGAATAAACTAAAAACCAGACAAATTTCCTTACCTTGATTGAGTAGTGATAAGAAAATGACGTCTACAGAAGCCAATGCTTTCACGATGCGCATTATGTTGTTATGAGTTGAAACTTAAGTTTCACTTTTAGGCATACGACAATTCTTCTTTGTTGTATTGATGTACTTACAAGTGATTGAATTGGTTATTTTTCTTAAGGTTCAATCAATGAAGAGATGGGTGATGAAAAAGGTTAGTTTGACAGCAATATCTGAGATAATAATCATAATCATCATAATAATAATACAATTTATTCCATTGTAACAGTTTATCAAACATTATGGTATTTAACGACACTAACTCATTGAAGAAGTATCAATGACAATTGAGCGAAGAGAATTTTCTTTTCGATGATATCACTTAGTCAAGTTGTACAATGATATTTCTAGTTAATTAACAAATGAAACGGTTTATTCAGAAATCGGAAAACAATTACATTACGGCAATTAGTTATGGTTAATAAATTCATTGTTCTTATGATAATTTCTGAGGAATATCATCTGTCTCATTGATGAATACCATTGCATTAGCAAATATAACCTGATTATGTTGTTCACTGTAAGATTAATCAGTTACATTCAACGAATATAATAGCATAGAATCATAATTCTTTTAACTATTTCTATCATGATATCATTCTGAGTAGGATTAACAAGCCTTTAAATCATTAACAATATAATTTGCTTTATTATTTATTCATTCAGCTCAATCGAATTCAATTAGAGAAGAACAAGGTAGGCATTGTTTACTTTGCAACTTATTTACACATTGATTGTCATTTATATAAACCTCTAATGAAATGTGTTTTCGAATGCAATAATGGTGTTTTTCTCACAAGTGTACACAGCAAGTTGATGAAGATTACATAGTCATCAACATAACGATGTTACGTGAAGGATATTTTACAGAATTCACGATTTCTCGACAAGAAGACGTGACTTATGGAGTAGAGCATTGAGGATAGACATTAGCTGTAGCAGTGGACGGTGGTTTGGCGAGGAAACTTCCTCAAACCTCTTCCAGAGTCATTCATAAGTTTCCATCGATATTTGCGATCTGCACGCGCTTATATTTCATACCTACTGAAGACTGTAGAAAATCATTGTGAACACGTTTTCTATCCTCATTCATTTCTAGTTGTACTTTAATTGACTTTCATTTAGTTTGTCAATTAAGTTATTTGTAAACAATTTTATTCCTATTCGATGTAACACATTATACAATTTCAATAATATTGGCTTAGATAGTTACGTGCATAGTTTACACGAGCTTAAGTGAGTTAGAAGCAGGTAAGGTCTTTAAAAGTGATGCATTCAAAAACATGTTCAAAGAGGAAATAAATCGAGCATAAAACACAAGTAGTTAAGTGTGTGCGTACATCGGTTGTTTTGATCATCATCTATGCGTATGTTATTGAATGCAAAATAATCAGTTTCAATGAACGTTGCATGTTTCGGTTTTTACCATTGAATTTTTTAAAATTTTCATATTTTCTTTAAACATATGTGTACATGTGTTTATAAAAGAACCAATACTACAATCTGACCAACGTGTAGTTATGGGTAAGGCACTGTTAGTAATTTGTGCACAAGCCAAATATTGAAGTGTAGATTTTTTGTATAATTACACGCCTGTGGATTATTTTGTGTGTAAGTGTAAATGTTTTAGTGTATATTCCTGTGGTTAGATTTGTGCCAGCGTATGTGTGTTCAAACAATTATTAAAACTCAATTATGGTAGTTTCTAGACTCAGAGTATTTTTCCTCTATTTTGTATCGAATTTTTCCAACTTTAGAAGCAGAATCAGCTAGATCACAAGAAAATGAACAAATAAAAGGTGACATTTGTTTTCTTTTAAAGTGTTTACTCGCATAAATATACCGATCATCATAATCATCATCATCACCGTCATCAGTAGCAGCACCGATCTGTTCAATCGAACAGAAAGTCCACTAATATTCCGGCGACATTAGAATGGGAGAATGCTTAGCAAAAGTAAAACAATTTCATGAGAAACAAAATAATAGATATTGCAAACAGTTATCCTCAACTAATAGGAATGATAATATTATTACCAGTAGTAGTGGTAAAAATAATCCATTTTTAAACAATCATAATAATGATACTTACCTCCGCCTGTCACTCGCAATGTAGCATAGGCCACCCACCAGCATTCTCCAGCCTGCTCTGTCCTCAGCCTTCTTCTCCACTCACATCCAGTTGCTGTGCATTCTTTTCACGTGTGCTTCAAATTCTCTCCACACAGTCAGTGTTCTCTGGTCTTTCTCCTCAACTTCGACCTTGAAGATTGCAATTGAGAGCCTGTCATGTGTTGATGGATGGGGTTGAGTGCTTTACTCAATGTTTATCCTTTCATCCACCTCCACTAGTTCTTCCTGATTTCTTGGTCTGATGCAATGTGGTTTGTTCTCTGTCACAGTAGGGGTTGTTGATGATGGTGTGACTAGCGTATCCGAAGTGTCATTCGTACTTAACTGTACATGGAGGACTGTATGTTCCGGATGGTGGCTTTTGTGGTACTCGAAGTTTGCGGTCGATACAACAGAAGTATCTTTACTTTCATATTGCAAATTGTGACTTAGGTGCTTGTTGACATGCAGTTGTTTTGAGTTGCTGACATTCTTCAATTGCAGGAACGCTGCTACATCTTCACTTGGAACGAATCTGTGAGCTTTCCTCCACGCACGATTTCGCAGTCGAATCCATCATAGGAATTCTGTATTATGTTGAGCACGTCTCAGGCACTCAGTGATGTCGACAAAGACTGCATAGTGTCATCGTGTCCACGCTATCAAATGCTTACTCGTAGTCAATGAAGATGATGTGGATTGGTGATTGCTGCTTCGTTTAATTTGCCGACGCGCGCCTTCGAATTCGCTTGTGAACGATTTACATGCTGCAATACCTCATTATTAAGTGTTATTTGTTCGTTGCACATTTTGTCGTATCGTGGCATCTTGTTGCGCCTCTCACTGATACTGCTCAGATTACTGCCAAATGGTGATTGTTAGCTACTTAGTCTTAGAACGGTCTTTGCTTGGAACGAGTCTGTGAGCTGTCTTTTGTCTCGATATTCATCCAATAACTTAAGGGAAATATTTTTGTTTGTCTAATTCTGTTGGTCAATATCATGGTCGTCCAAATTGTCAACGTCACATACTACACTGTTTTTTCCCGTTGGCCGTCCTAACTATCAATTTCACTTCATATGTTTACTACTGGTACTCACAACTATCAAAATCACAAACTTCCATGTTGTTTCCTATTCAACCTAACTGTATAAATGTGCATTATCCGTATAGCTTATTATTGCATTCATTCCTTCTGTACTTGACCCTATAAACAACTTTATCCAACGGTGTTGGGTTCTGATACATTGGAGATTTGGGAACAGTATTTTGGGTCTTATTAGAATATATGAATTTGGTGAATCTGTAGTATTTCGATTAGCAACATAGCAGCATTATAACATCCTCCATGCACGATTTTGCAGTAGGATTTATTATAGGAATTCTGTACTATGTTGAACATGTCTCGGGCACTCTTTAGTGTCGATTAAGACCCCATAGTTCCATTCTTACACGCGATCAAACGAATTCATTTTCACTGTACTTTTATTTTCTTGATTAGTTTGAATCTCTTTTTTTCAGTGGTGAGTCTGTTTTACCATGTTTTCCAGCGAACTTCTTTGTTGTTTCATTCAATTTTTCAAGTTCCATTCCTTGATGCCTTTATCGCTGTCTTTGCTAGGTTGTTCACCTGTTTTTTCGGATCTAATGCTCCTCTTCACTCGTCTGTTTCTGTTTATTCTGTGTTTTTCAGCTTTCTCTTCTTCTTGTTCGCTTGCTATTAATTTCTGCCTTCTTGTTCTCCCTTTTTTAAATTTTTTCAACAGAGATCCTTTCTTAGTGATGGTTCTTCCTCTGGCTCAAAACCTACTGACATAATGAAGTGTTTGCCTTGTTGATCCTTTTCTAATTGTTCTCCATAGTACTTTCCTTTCCATTGAGTAGATCATATCCTTCATAGACATTCTGAACTTTTTGTTGATGCAGATATGGTAGATTTGGTTCTGTGTAATGTGATCCGGTGAAATTTACATGCCTTTTGTTTTGCGCTTGTGTGGGAATATGGTACTGCCTATGACCAGTTTGGTTCTAGTGCAGTCTATTCCAACATTGGCGTCTAGGTCTTCCATCAGAATAACCAAGTGATTTGTTGGGCATTTCTCAACGATTGACTGCAGCCTTTTGTAGAATTGATCTTGAACGTCTTCACTGTCATAAGTAGTAGGTGCATAGCACTGGATGATGTTCGTTGTGGTCCACTCTATCTTTATTTTAAAGTATTAGTTGATGATCCAGGGTCCATAGATTTCTATCCTATCATTGCCTTTTGTGAGTATAATAGCAACTTCTCGAGCAATTCTTGTTGTCCAACCTGCGTCCAATGTGCTTCACGGATTTAAGGTACCACCAGGCTATATCGTTTCATCTCTGTAGCAACTTGGATGACTCTCCCGGTCTCTCACAGTGTGCGAACATTACATGTACCTAAGTTAATGGTTGCTCCGGTAAGAGGAGAAGCATCCGCCTCGTGACTTCCGAAAGAACTTGACTTTCATCATGAAACGCAATTACTGTACTAAATGAAGACCTTCCAAATCCCAGGGTAGAGTTTAAATGGTTTGAATTATTTTTCCTACTTAGCGATTACTTAGCAATTTAGGTTTCTACGGTATATAGTCACCAACTCTACTTCCAACACTCTACCTAAAGCCGAGTTCCGGATAGGCATTAGTCGCAGCAGGGCTCCAGGCGGAGTCATAAAAAATGATAATATTGTTCCAATTGAAACACAATACAATGACTTTTTTTTTATTAAAACCTACAAATATTTCGTGTTACATTTTTCCAAATTTAGAAGCAGAATCAGCTAGATCAGAAGAAAATGAAGAAATAAAAGGTGAAATTTATTTTTATTAATGTGTATAATCTCACAAAAAGAATGTTAAAACCTTTTTTAAGCATTATACCCAGTGATTAAATACCTATTTACTATATTGAATTACAATCTCTTTACAAGCAGTGATATCCCACTTATTTAGTTTTCGAAATAAATTGATAAGTTAATGAAATTTGAGTTGAATAGTTGTAATAATCCTAGTCTCGAGTTAAAACATCAGTTGCATACACGAATAAGATATTGAAATATTGTGACAATGGTGTTTTTCTCACAAGTGTACACACACATGAAGCACCATCTTGAGCGATTAGAATAGCAAGTTGATGAAGATTACATAGTCATCAACATAACGATGTTACGTGAAGGATATTTTACAGAATTCACGATTTCTCGACAAGAAGACGTGACTTATGGAGTAGAGCATTGAGGATAGACATTAGCTGTAGCAGTGGACGGTGGTTTGGCGAGGAAACTTCCTCAAACCTCTTCCAGAGTCATTCATAAGTTTCCATCGATATTTGCGATCTGCACGCGCTTATATTTCATACCTACTGAAGACTGTAGAAAATCATTGTGAACACGTTTTCTATCCTCATTCATTTCTAGTTGTACTTTAATTGACTTTCATTTAGTTTGTCAAGTAAGTTATTTGTAAACAATTTTATTCCTATTCGATGTAACACATTATACAATTTCAATAATATTGGCTTAGATAGTTACGTGCATAGTTTACACGAGCTTAAGTGAGTTAGAAGCAGGCAAGGTCTTTAAAAGTGATGCATTCAAAAACATGTTCAAATAGGAAATAAATCGAGCATAAAACACAAGTAGTTAAGTGTGTGCGTACATCGGTTGTTTTGATCATCATCTATGCGTATGTTATTGAATGCAAAATAATCAGTTTCAATGAACGTTGCATGTTTCGGTTTTTACCATTGAATTTTTTAAAATTTTCATATTTTCTTTAAACATATGTGTACATGTGTTTATAAAAGAACCAATACTACAATCTGACCAACGTGTAGTTATGGGTAAGGCACTGTTAGTAATTTGTGCACAAGCCAAATATTGAAGTGTAGATTTTTTGTATAATTACACGCCTGTGGATTATTTTGTGTGTAAGTGTAAATGTTTTAGTGTATATTCCTGTGGTTAGATTTGTGCCAGCGTATGTGTGTTCAAACAATTATTAAAACTCAATTATGGTAGTTTCTAGACTCAGAGTATTTTTCCTCTATTTTGTATCGAATTTTTCCAACTTTAGAAGCAGAATCAGCTAGATCACAAGAAAATGAACAAATAAAAGGTGACATTTGTTTTCTTTTAAAGTGTTTACTCGCATAAATATACCGATCATCATAATCATCATCATCACCGTCATCAGTAGCAGCACCGATCTGTTCAATCGAACAGAAAGTCCACTAATATTCCGGCGACATTAGAATGGGAGAATGCTTAGCAAAAGTAAAACAATTTCATGAGAAACAAAATAATAGATATTGCAAACAGTTATCCTCAACTAATAGGAATGATAATATTATTACCAGTAGTAGTGGTAAAAATAATCCATTTTTAAACAATCATAATAATGATACTTACCTCCGCCTGTCACTCGCAATGTAGCATAGGCCACCCACCAGCATTCTCCAGCCTGCTCTGTCCTCAGCCTTCTTCTCCACTCACATCCAGTTGCTGTGCATTCTTTTCACGTGTGCTTCAAATTCTCTCCACACAGTCAGTGTTCTCTGGTCTTTCTCCTCAACTTCGACCTTGAAGATTGCAATTGAGAGCCTGTCATGTGTTGATGGATGGGGTTGAGTGCTTTACTCAATGTTTATCCTTTCATCCACCTCCACTAGTTCTTCCTGATTTCTTGGTCTGATGCAATGTGGTTTGTTCTCTGTCACAGTAGGGGTTGTTGATGATGGTGTGACTAGCGTATCCGAAGTGTCATTCGTACTTAACTGTACATGGAGGACTGTATGTTCCGGATGGTGGCTTTTGTGGTACTCGAAGTTTGCGGTCGATACAACAGAAGTATCTTTACTTTCATATTGCAAATTGTGACTTAGGTGCTTGTTGACATGCAGTTGTTTTGAGTTGCTGACATTCTTCAATTGTAGAAATTCTGCGCTTGCTTTTTTCTTGTCATTTGCATCCGATCCAGTTTGCTCTGTTTTTACTTTTGCATTGTTTATGTTAGTTTCATATTAAAGGGTGTTTATTTTCTTTATTTGCCTTGATTTGTTTACCTTTATTTTAATATATAATAATGTATCTGCCCTACCATAATGAAGACGTTACATATCACCGTGATTATTTGTTTGCATATGGTGTGCTTGTTTTCTCAATTAGAACCGTTAGCATATTTAATTACGATCAGTTATTATTTATTATAAACATAATTCTACTTGAAAGTCAAAACAAGAAATGTTTCAGTAACACCTACAATTTTTTTCAAATTTAGAAACAGAATTAGCTATCTCACATGAAATTGAAGAATTGAAAAGTGATATTTATATTCTTTAAATTTTTGTACTCGCATAGGCAGAATGTTCCCAAGTTTTTTTTAATATTATGTTGAGCTGATTTGTATAGAATAATGCATGCTTTAGTCACCATGTCTGTCATTTACACAACTAACTTACTAAGCTATTTGTGTTTGCTCCAACTCACGTTGTATTTTAACAAACACTCAGTATGTACAACGGACGTGTAACCATGGGCAGTTTTCACTTAATCTTTTAATCAAATCGTCCATTGTTAATGGTCTCAGCATTTGTTACTATCGGTTTTAAAAGGCTCTATATCTTCATTGAATTAATCTTTTGGTAGTCATCATTTTCTGGAATTTTATTATTTTTCCGTCTCTAGTAATTCTAGTGATTGATATTTAATTAATCACGAATTTTCTTTCTTATAAACTAATACCTCACTATTCTGTCAGATGAACAGGACATATGTCTATTGCTTAACTAGTATCTTAATTAAAAAAACAGCGAATGAACATGAGCCGTCATAGTCAATTCATATATGTATATAATGTTTTTCTCTTTTGAAAATTTAATTTGATCGGATGATTACTTAATCAGTCAGAAAACAATCAACACTCTAAGGAACTCAGTTGTAAAGCTACTAATCACTCACAAACCACTATTCTCTTTATATTAGTGTAGAATGACTGTTTTAACTAGGTAAGGTTACCACCACATGATTTTTATGATGTTCAGTTGATGATAATTTGAATCATAAACAATTTTTTTTGACTTTAGATTTACCTTTAATTTATGACTGAAATATGCAATAGTTCCATTGTGGTGAGCATTATGTTCTTAGATTTCGTAATTTACGCTTTCAGACAATCGTTACTAAATAACGCCTGATGGTTTTAGAAATCAGAAGGTAAACACGAAGGGTTGAATGTGCTTATTTTCGCACACCACAAATCTAACAGAAGACCACAGGCATGCAAAGATAAAATCGATATGCTAGTTTCGGCAGGCAATCAAGAAAGCGAATTAGCAAATGAGCGAATCGGCGCATTGGCGAATGAATTTTATAAGATTAAAATGTTCATGTATATACATAGTTAAATGTTTTAGTCATCGAAATATTTAAGAGATTAATATATATGCAAGCGAATAGGATGAATATGCACGTAGGCTGTAAGCACTCTTCAGTCGTACCAACTCATACCAACCAGACAATAGTAAAAACTAATGGTGCTTATAAGTCGTTGCTAAACGAATGGCTTGGTTAAATAAGTTAATCGAAAGACTTTACCAAATTTAATATAAGCGAACTCAAATGTATGTGGAAGCACTACACCACAGGTGAGTACATGATTTTATCTTTTTCATGAAGAACGATGCATTTTTCAAACCTTTGTTTTTTTCAGATGAAGAAAATAATTCTAATTCACTGAAATTTAATGGGGACGAAAGTATGCGAGCAAGTCCCGTACAATCGGATAGACGACAGTCTGCAAAATCTGATATTAAAATACAGCCCGAAGAAAATGCACCAGCCGAAATCGTAGCTGGTACAGTGCCGACAAGTGTAACTAGAGTAAAAACTGAAACAAGCAGCTCCAGTTCATCAGGTGAGAAATTACTCAGGAATTGAAATGACTTATCTTTGACATTCTTTTTATGACAACTCATAGTTGATGAAATTATTTAGGGTTATAAGATATTGAACCCTTTATTTATATTGTTCAGGACGTTAAGAGAAGAGTAGAATGTCGACTACTGATAACGGTACATTGACCATTAATTTATCGAGCGAAATCTTAACATACTTACGTTATACTTCGAAACAAAAAGCACTATTTATAAGCTTTATTGTTTTCTAATTTGCGCTCCTACGGAACATCTAATTATCTTCTGACCTCATCTTCGTCCAAAAGAAGTTAACTTTTACAACAATTATGGCTAAGTTATTGATAGTTAATCCTACGATATTGCTTGGCTATCTCCTATCTTCCTGAAATGACACGTAAACTATTGAATATAAGATTAATAGTGAGTTTAATGGTTAAGCTGAAGGTTCTGGATTTGGTCCTCTGTGCCGTCATGGATGTTCACTGAAAACCAGTTTCATACTAGAATAAAACTTTTCCAGTACTTCTTGGTCTCGATAACACTTAACAGTCTCCAAAAAGCAGTGAATTGTAGGCGGCAATCAAGAAACGCTGGATTTCGTCTTTGTGATACTTGACACGCATCAATAAACCCTGCCTTAAATCTCTTAAATGATTGGCGCATCATCTGAGATTCGAACCCAAGTTACAGATAAGGACGTCATCACTAGGATACTCGTGTTTTAACTGATTTTCCGTTGTACTGAGGTGTATACACTGAGTAGTAACTAATATTGTGTATTTTTTTAATCCTAAGTAATGGTAAAGTTTTATCACACAGGTTACACTGTGTTCGCCAGCAGTTTTGAGTTACTTATTTGAATCGTAAATATACACTCAATGCTATCCAACTTCTAGATCAATGTGGTCTGATTGTCTTGGAAGTAAGAAAGATGTCATCCAAAGTATTAAGTATTAACCATTTAGTATGGCCGTTAACGGGTTTCACTAGATTCCGATTTAGTCATACCAATGTTCTGTACTCAGCACAAAACTCAAAGGCCCAGAGTTCTTTCCAATGAACGATTCGGAGCGGAGCAAAGTTAAGTGTCTCACATAACAGCAATCAATCCTTAATAGTATACTTTTCTCCAACATTTCCTCAAATGAAGTCACTCAGTGATAAAAATGGTATCCCTATTGATCAATTTTTCAGCTTAACTAAATGTTTACTATAGTTATCTATTGTGCTAACAGAAAACAATCATAGAACCGTATCTGTGTTAATATCTTTCAATTTGTCCTAATAAGAAAAGGGAAAAAGTGTTTTATATCTCACTACAGGATTTATGATACTGTTTCATGCGAATTGTAAATCAGAAGGCCTTACATTGGTATGTCATTTTATGTTTGGTGGTTTGTATAAATCAGTGCTGAATACAATGTTAGTAATGTATCACTAAACTATATCAAAAGTCAACCAATCATGATTTACTTGTTGGTTTCTAAGCAATCTGAAGGAAAAGTGTAATATACGAAAGTAAAAAGGTTGGTTTTTTGAAAACTACGAACATTACGAAATACTGTGTAATGAAGGAAACAATGAATAAATGCTATCCTTAAGTTGTAAACATAACGTTGCGATGCATGTTATTCTCGATGAAGCATAGGCCACCCACCAACATTCTCCAACATGCTCTGTCCTAAGCCTTGAAGATTGCAATTGAGAGCTTGTCATGAAATTATGGAAGTAGTTGACTGCTTTACACAATGTGTGTTCTGTCATCCACCTCCACTAGTTCTTCCTGATTTCTTGGTCTGATGCAATGTGGTTTGTTCTCTGCCACAGTAGGAGTTGTTGTTGATGGTGTTTGACCAGCCTATTCAAAGTGTTATGCGTACTTAACTGTTAGTGAACGCTTGCCTGTTCTGGATGGTGGCTTTCAAGGTACTGCAGGTTTGCACTCCATACAAGAGAACTGTCTTTACTTTTGTATTGAAAATTGTGACTTAGGTGCTGGCTGACATACAGTGTTGTTTTGAGTTGCTGAAATTCTTCAATTGTAGAAATGCTGCTCTTGTCTTTCATTTGCCCGCCTTCACATTTGCATCAAATTCACCTTGCTCATAAATGATGCTGTCCGGATATGTGAAAGTTTTTATATGCTGCAAAGCTTCTCCGTCAAGTGTGATTTAGTTGGTGCACGTTGCGTCATATTGTGACATCTTGCTTTGCCTCTTGTGTATGTTGAGACTTACTGATGCTGCTAAGGTTACTGCCACACCGGTCGTCGTCTCATGCATTTGTTGTTGCGTGTGGGATCGAAGAGACAGATCATGCGTGAAATCAACATGGTCGAGCTGCCTGTCAGCTGTTCAGTGAATTCCGTGCTTCCTCCAAATATCGGCGTTGTCATAATCCATTCGATTAGCAGGAGAGGGAGAAATGGTGATTGTAAGCAACCTACTCTGACATCGATCTTCACGGCATCATTGCAACCCCCTGTGTATGTGAAGCATTTCTGTTTAATGGCTGTAGTACAACAACGTCTCTCCTGAAGCTAGTCATTTTTATCATTTTTATCTTTCATCGTTTCTAAGCACCACTAGGTTGTTGTGCTTCATTTCCACAGCAACTTCAATTGTTCTTCCGGTCTCCCACATTGTGTGACCTATGCAACCACTCCATGAACTATTGTTAATTGTTCCTCTGGTTATTAGAAACAGCATCAGCCTCGTCACTTCCGAATTAACTCTATTTTCATCATGAGGTGTGGTAACACTTTTGAATGAAGACCTTCCTACTTGCAGGACAGAGTTTTAATGGTTTGAATAATTTGATATGATTAGTATTATTTTAGCAAGTTCCTTTTCTACGGGATAAGATCGCTATACCCTATTTCCAGTGCTTTTTCTTTTTCCGGGCTTAGGACCGGCGGCGTTCCTGGAGGGTTTTCAGACGGAATTTTTTTATTTAGTTACACAGTGTTTTGTCATTCTCCCATTCTTGATACAATCTTAGTTAACCTAAGAAGAAATACAAATTTTACTTCCATTAACATTACTGATCATTTCATGCAATATACAAATTTTATTATAATTATTTCATCTTATTTCCTTGTTTTATTCTTTACTGTTTTCTCTCAATCCGGATTTTTTGGCGTAACATTCGAATGTTGTTGTTTCTTTGTGTTTGCACTTCACATGTATGTTTTTTTGCACATAATTTTGCTGCATGAATTGTTAGTTAAAAAATCATTATCAAAGTTATCTATGAGTAAAAAAATCTAAGTCAACAACTACACTACAATAATAATAACAACCACAACAATCAATGTCATTGACAAGAACAAAAATGCTTACATCAGTCAAAGGTGAAGCAATAAGATAGTTGATTTCGCTTTCTAATTAATCTGTCAACTTATCTATACATGCATATATCGGTATTATAGGTAGGACCTACGGTATTGGTCATTTTAGGATGAGTAGTTCAAATATCTAATTACTTGTCGCTTTTTCAGCAGAACAACAGAAGTTGTTGATGTTGTTAGTCACATACCCAATCCTTCTTTTTTGATGAGGTTTGGGACTGGCAGTAACCTTAGAAGGGCTCCAGGTGGATTTTGGGGGTTTAGTAATCAATTGATGCAATTTGTATGGAATGAATGACGATAAGGTTTCTTCTTTCCTATAAACAATAAGATTCATTAATCAATAAATAGCTTTTCTGTCGTGGTTTGTGCAAATCCTAACTCTCTGGAATTAACAATGACAAATTATGAGATGAAGGGTTAGGTTGTTTGAATGAATACCAACTCGAACTATTATCCAGTCCTCGTTTTTAATACGACTTAACAAAAGTTGGAATTATAAAACTGAGACATCTCACGGTAAGTGAAACAGTTGTAAGGGTGTACTTTTTGACTGTCAGTTACATATTTCAATTCATCTCATTTTTTATTCGAAGATCTATAGGCTTCCAAGTTTCAAAAAACACTTCATAATTATTCTGTTTAACATAATCGCACATTTGCACCGTAATAATTCCGCTTAATTTACATTTTCATGTCAAATATCCCTGCATGAAATATTTCTTGTTACTTTAAATTTTGCTGTTTTATCGCATATTGTGAAAATGTTTCACTATCATTAGAAGTCACACATTGTGTAAACTCTAACGATCATGCACCACACATCATACTTTCGTCTATTACCTCTGTTATGCATTTCGTTGTTGTATTGACATTTAGGTTGTATACATTGCTGTATTTTTTCCGAGCACAACTGTCAGGTATGTGTGTAGTTAGGTTTGTAAGTATGCATGTATCGTATGTTTTAGAATGATTAATTGAATGATTTAACAATCCGAAATCATTTTATGTGTAATTGATTGGTAATTACTCTCAGTTTACTGAAGAATTTACCCCAAATTAAAACTGTCGAATAAGTTTATTTTTATTCAAAATTTATCCCCTTTGTAATTTCCTAACCTTATCATCATCATCCTCATCATCTATCATCTGATTCTTGAAGAAAACTACTCAGAGTGTAGCAAATGAAAGCAGCTTAGATATAAAGAAAAATTCAGCATAGGATTTCATCATGGTACCCTCATTGTCTACTGACTAATCTATTTTGTAATATTCTATATCTTTTCTATCAAATTAGTTAGTGATCACGATTTGAGATTTTGAAATAAGGATTGTTCGCCTATTTAATCGGTATTCTATTTTAACAAATGAACCTTCGCTTAGTCTACAACTGATTGTAGAACTGAAAGTAGAACTATGGTTAGACTGTTAAAGGTCTCAAATAATTGTTAGAAATATTTTTCAACTCCCTCGGTAAATGCACGAAACAAACAGTAGAATGAAAGTTTACCAACAGGTAAGTGAATGATAAATTATTTGTTTTTAAAGCTGATTATTATATACACAATCAAATACTATGGAAATCTAATTTTAATTTGTCATTAATAGTTTGTAATTGTTTTCAATCTCATTCAATTATTAATGATTAACTTGTTATACGTGTTCATGGTTTCCATTGTTTCAATAATATTTGTATCAGTTTGTAGTAAATCTTATGTGTTCTATTTTACTTTACAGATACATAAAACGAATCAATAACAAAGATCCAAATATGTTTGTGTCTTTTTATTGCAAAAATGAAATGACCTGCGATTTCGTTTTTCTGGTTGATTTATTAAACAAAATGTGTTAATAATGTTTCTGTGTTTGAAAAAGTGATTGTAACATTTTTTTTTATTGTTCACCTAAATTAATCTTTTCTTTTTTCCTAATGACTTATAACTTGGATTATCATGCAGTGGGCTTATTTGTCGATTTTAATTGAGAATGATTACATAAGCTTTGATTATAATCTAAGCGTTTGTAGGTTGTTATTTCCTCATATATACCATATTAGTTGCGTTCATTACTTAGTCAAGTCTCGAATACATAGCGGACTATATTTTTATGTACCGTTTTGCGATCTGATCTTTGTGCCAAGTGGTTAAGCGTTCGCATGCATGATCGAAGCTCCTGGGTTCGCTTTCTGCTTGAGGAATTGTGAATGGGTACTATTGATAAGTTCGATTACTAGAATGAAACAGCCATCTAGTACTTCCAGACTGTCAGTAGTAGTTTAACATTGATCGGTTCATGATTTCAATGGAACTCAACAATTTTCAAAACTCTAAACTGACTGACTACCTGGATTTTCGAACTCCCACTTTCAATTAAGTTAACATGTTGCGCTTAATTCATGAAGTTAATAACAATAAACTAATTATTTAAGGAAAAAAAAGGTTTAACTCTCTTAGAAAGAACAACACAATATCTTTCAGTACATATCCAAAATTTTCGATTGAGAATAATGCTTTTCACTTTGTTTAGTAAAAGTTAATTTTGTAGCTTTCATTATAAAGGGGATAATGATGAAATGATACCTATTACTGTTTTCAATCTTAACTATAGTAATCGCATAATGACCTTCATTGATGTGTCCAATCCAAAACTTTGGAATAACGTGTTGTTTTCAGTGTTGTGACTGGAATTTTCAGCATTTTCATCATCTTTCAAAATCATCATTATGTTTAAGCGCAACTAACTATCTGTTGTAAATGATTACAAAATTTATAAATCGGTTAATTTCAATAGAGTGGATTATTATTTCTTATTTCCACATAATTGGTATTACTTGAATTTTCCTAAGTTTGTCATGTAAAGGAGGTTTCGGAATATGATAAATTGAATATTGTCAGCTTCATTTGTTATGTAATACACCCTATGCATGAATTATTAGACAATAACAGCTAATTCATGATGCTTCATCGGTGTGTTCTTAGTTACATGGAATATAAAATAAGTTTAGTTGTTTAAAACACAAAACTACAGCTCAAATTAAATAGTTTTCATGGAGCTTATATAAGTAAGTGAATACGGTTTCAGAATATTTTAGAAATAGTTTCTTTGTGCAACAAGATAAGAATTTATTTTTTAAAAAAAAGAATTTAGATAGGTAAGAAAATACTTTTAAATAAACTTAATAAAATGTCAAGAAAATTGAAAACTTATTAAAATATAAGTTTTAGTCACCTACGCTTCTTTTTTAAAATTTCATGAGGAGGATCAATTACCATCAGAGAATTAAGGACAGTGAGGAGATATGTTCTCTTTGACGATATCATTAGGCTCAAGCGAATAACATAGTCTGATAACCAAAAAAAAGGAGGACGATCACATCACATCATATCGAAGTCGGATGCTTAATAATCGGGAATTAAAGAGAAATAATGGGACAACATCAACTGAGTGAAAGATAATTGTTCACTTGACAAATATGAAAGGGGCAAAGAATAAGGTAAAAACAATATGGTGATAATGAGGAATAATTAAAACTATGAAGAATAAAAAAATCAAATAACTAACTGTTTCGGTAAATTAAGTGTCGGAGTTATGGAAAAATGATAGCTGCAAATCTTTCTTTTCCGTAGTGTTTCAATTTGCAATGATAAATTGCTACTGCCTCTGCAGTGCTTACAATTATTAGCTTTCACTCCTCTTAAATCAAATCGTATGACTCTATACATATGATTTGAAACCAATTTTCAGGTGGAACCATGTAAGCAGAATGCATAATATGTTTTAACATTGAACGGTTTATTGATTTACTCTTGCCTTTCGAGAGCGATGTTGGATAATGTCTGCAGACAAGCTTTTTGAGGCCTACATAACTTACTCCACAAGAGCAAGTGAACACAAACGCACATTGATGTGACCCGAGAAGACGGTTAATCTTTAACACATCCATGGGTGATGAGGTGAGAACCGATGATGAGAAACCTGATAGCAAAAAAGGTTTTGTGAGATAGTTCTTTGACTTTTCCTCAGCAGTATCTCTCTTGGACTCAGTGCTCATGAAAAATTCTTAAGGTTTTATGTTCCACTCAATACGTCAGTGGGTAGCCATTTTCGAGGAATATCTTTCGGAAGTTGGATAGTTTCTTCTATTCGCCTAGCTCCTGATAACAAAGATTGATTTAGCTTTCTTTTTCTATTTACTGAGAGCTAATCACATTCCATCCATCCACTCCGAGTTGTTTCTCGATCTATGGGCTTTTGTAATATACAATCTGGTCTTCTAAATAATAAGACATCGAGCAAACTGAATCTCACATGTGATTCTAATTTCAATGTAAATTTGATGGCTTTATGGCAGCTATTAAACTTTTTCGGAATGAAATTGGTGTCACTATGTTCGTCGCAATCAGTTACGTTAGAAAATCCATCCATGCCTTAAACTAGATAACTTAAGTTTAATTTTATGATCCCAGTTTTTAATATCAGTCACCAGTGGCTTCAAACGATTCAGAGGGAAAATTGATGGTTTCTGTCATGAGGAAATGACAGTCAAGATCCATGTGATTCAGCAGATCTCCACTGCCTACAGTCTGCCATAAAGAAACGATGTGTATCACGTAGCTCCGTTGATTTAATAATACCAAGATGACGCAGGTTATTATTGAAACCAAAACACTGGAATACTTCTCTACTTTCAACAAATACACAGCTTTCTCTGTTAATATCCTTACTTGATCACATCGAAAATTTTCATAAAATACTTTTGAACTCAGAATCATCTACTTAATGATGATATTTATTTCATTATACCATAAATCATTTTGATTTTCTGTTTTGTTTGTTAAAAACAATCTTTTATTCGATCATTCAGCATTTAACATTTGAATACTAATTTAATTTAGTTTATATGTTGAAACTTTACTGAAATGAGCAAATACTGAAATATCATATTATTCCAGTGATTATTTTTAAGAGAGCAAATACAAAGATTGGTGCAGAAGGGTATGGATATATTTTGTTCAATTACGTTCTCATCAGCTGCTTTTTACTTATAATATTTTCATATCAAGACTATCATGGAAACTGATGTTATACAAAAAGGTGACTAGATGTAGATATGTGTATCATGATGTTGCGAAGTTTCCAATAAAGTTTTAATAAAATCAAAATTTTACAGATAAAGAGGAAAAGTTCCAGATTATCGAACTAATCATTACAAATCAAACAGTTAACAAGCTACAAATGTTAGTATAATGAAATATTCGTAAATAATAATCATCTCCCTGACTCAGTGTCGTATTTTTAATCATCCGAATAAGAATCTATTTTACTGACAAACATAAACTGGTCCGCTTCTGGAGGTACACATTTCACAAATCTTGCCGATATCGAACAGCAAGTCTGGTAATACGTTTCGAGAAATGTTCTCTGGTATTGGATTTCCAACTGAGGAACAGAGCCAGACAATTAATAATTTTCGTTAATCAATCTTCTACCATTTTTTTTATCTGGGATAGTCACAGCAAAAGAGTTTTTTACATTAAATATGTGAGCAGAATTAAAGGCCATCGTCAACGGTCGAGGAGACAGTCTTAAAATCCTGTATATAATCAGTCACTTAGGCAAGCTGTTGAATGTTGACGTCAATCTTTCCCTCAAGTTTACCTGATAGATGAATTGTTCACTGAAACCAGATGAACTGTGATTCAGATTCGTTATTTATTATGTGTTATTCGTGCTCAAAACCCGTGCTTCAGTCGTTTGATAGATCAAATTAATAGCATCCGGCCATTACCATTTTCCATAGCTGTAGAATTCGACCCAATAAGTTGCGTTTACGAAACGTGCAGAGAGCGAATGATTGTGCAGGATGTTTTTTGAATGCGTCATCGAGTACCAAAACAGTCAGAAATCACACGTTGAAGATTTTCTCAAATGTTGACTTAATACGTAGTTTAGAAACCTTCGTAGTACATATCATCCAGCTGGTAGGCAAGGCACAGATGCAGCGTGACGCAGACGGTTAACTACAGTTCTATTTCATCTGTATTGGGGATCAGAATAACACAGTTTGCTGTTTTACAGACATCATCAATGTCGATAGTACATATAGAGAGAAAGTTGAGACAAATTGCCATTCTACCAGTCGGTGGCATTGTATACGTCTTTGAAGGCCATACCAGTGGCCTCTGGATTTTTGGCTGACTTTTTTCCATTATCTCGAGAAGAGATCGACAAAAGGAACATTGGAATAGATAGGCTCTCTGAAATTCCGGAACTCAGTCAAGAGTTAAATGATGACAATGGGTCTCCGTGCTGGCTGCCAACTACTGTGACAACTGAGCGAAGAACAGGGTACTGGCAATTGGAATAGATGATCACCATGCATCGTACTCTGTTGTTTTGCCTATTATTTACAATTACATTACAGGTGTTTACTGTGCATGAAATGTCATGGTAATGATATATGTCGGCCCAACCTGTAAGTAGAGTGCATACATGAATTTATCTATCAATCTGAACTAAATGGAATAAATCACTTCAATATGTTTAGTGACGTTTTCTTTTTCATTTTTTTTCATTTTATATCGCGTATGAACCACCATGAGAACAAGATACAGCTCTTTTTAGAGCCTTCTAACATAATGATTTAGTAGTCTTCTTTTGTTGGAGCCCGACAAAAAATATCAACAAAGGAAGAGTGAATATATGTATACCGATTTTTAATCAATAAATATAAATTACTGTTTTCATTTACAGTTAATTAAAGTGCGTTCAGTTGTAACAATGTGGTCACTTGAAGATCGAAATTTCTACAAGGTGTGTATAAGTTTAACATCAACTGTCAGTAAAATTAAGAAACATTTGAAGACATTATGTTATTAGTAAGTTTACTAGAATCCTCGTAAGCCATCAATACGTATTTGAGATTATTAACACTATTAACTTTTGAGATGGTGGAGAACAAAACACCACCACAACTATTAACTTTATTCAAAGCACTTTGACTAGGCAATAAGATAATCACCCCAAAAGTTAGGTCAGCTAATTGTAGAACGAAATTAACACTGTGTTCATATTTTAATGAGCACTGCTCGATCACATAGTAACTTAACTTAAAAGTTTCTCATACTTAATAAACTATCATTCAATGAAATTAGAAAATGATGGTTTCTAGGTGTTTGAATTCTACTTGTTTACATAAGATTTTTGATGATTGATATGATTCGCTTTACAATTATTGTGAAAATTGTATCTGGATTGTTGTATCGTGTTAATAAAAATAAAGATGCTTCACAGTGAACGTTTATGGCATTGAATGATAGACTGAAATCAAATTTTTTAGGCAGTTATTTCAATGTTAAGTTCAAACTACACATTAAAGAAATGAACGTTTGCGTTGCTTATTACTTTCAACAATAAATGCGATCAAGGAGGAGGGTTGGAAATTGGGTTAGTAAACCCATTCCGTAGAAAACCAACTTGCTAACAAAACACTAACCGAAGCAAATTACTCATACAGTCTAAACTCTGTCCTGTAAGTTGGAAGGTCTTCAATCAAATGAGTTATCACGCCTCAGGACAACTCACAGGTTCGTTCCAAGTGAAGACAGGTGTCAGACTAGTTTGTTTACAATCATCATTTCTCCCTCTCCTGTTGATCGACTGCATTATAACGACGCCGACAAGTGGCAGAAGAACGGGATTCACTGAACAGCTGGCGTGCAGCTCGACCATGTTGACTTAGCACACGATCTAGTTCTTTAATCCGACAAGCAACAACAAATGTAGAAGACGACCGGTGTAGCTGCAAACTAAGCAACAAAGCGAGGGCAGCATTTCTAAAATTGAAGAATATCAGCAACTCAAAACAACTGTATGTCAACAAGCACCTAAGTCACAATTTGCAATACAAAAGTAAAGACAGTTCTCTTGTATGGAGCGAAAACTTGCAGTACCACGTAAGCCACCATCCAGAACATGCAGTTGTTCACTAACAGTAAAGTACGAATGACACTTCGGATACGCTGGTCACACACCATCATCAACAACCCCTACTGTGGCAGAGAACAAACCACATTGCATCAGACCAAGAAATCAGGAAGAACTAGTGTAGGAGGATGATAGGACACACATTGTGTAAAGGAGTCAACTGCACCCATCATCACATGACAAGCTGTCACTTGGAATCTTCAAGGTCGAAGTTGCGGAGGAAGACCAGAGAACACTGACTGTGTGGAGAGAATTTGAAGCACACGTGAAAAGAATGCGCAGCAATTGGATGTGAGTGGACAAGTAGGTTGAGGACAGAGCAGGCTGGAGAATGCTGATGGGTAGCCTATGCTACATTACGAGTGACAGACCGAAGGAAGAAGTAAGTAATTTATTATATATGTTTAGAAACTAACATCTGAGTGACTGTTAATTGTCATTAGCCACAAATCAACCTTATCGAAAATGATATTTTCATTGTTTATTCAGCTTAGATTCAAACTTTAGTCAGAAACATTATCACTACATACTTTTCATATATCTTTCTTCTGTATTCATATAAATCCATCCCAAATTGCACAATACCACCTCTTTATACGTCTGTCATACTATCTCATATGAATATCCTATAAAGATTATTTTCACCTAGTATTCTGGAAATCTTTTTCATTAATTTAGATTCTATTTTAAACATTGCATGTCATGAAACGAATAACTTGTGGGTGGGTACTTCATACGTCATTACTACGTTTGACTATAGAAAAATTCCAACACAAATCAATCATCAATTACTGACACAATATTCCGTTCGTTAGTCATGTAGTACTTACTGCACACTAATTTTACATTGAGTTTAATTAATTTCAACAATCTAGATAAAAGCAAACTCATTTGGTTCTACAGTTTACTTGAGAAAACAAGCACATAATTAATCAAATGATCCTATTTCTATGGGGCGGAAAAGTTAAAAATTTGAACAAAACAGGATTTTCATAAACAGATATTGATTGTACGATGAAGTAACCGAAGTCAGATTAATAAAGATTAATTTAAGTTAAAATCAGTCGATCGGAATCAAAATTATGAGTTTAAGAGCAGTGAAAATAACGTAATCAAATTACGAGAAAGATTTAAATAAAATAAAGGGTGATGTAATAGAATGAATGTGAGGACAGATTTATTATTGTTTCTTTTAAAAAAAATTCAGTTTCAGACGTTTGATAGTAACAGTTTTGGCAAATTTCAAAAAATGAGTATTCATCTGCTAGATGAGGACTTAACGAAATAAAATGAATTCATACTATGCCGTACCAATCTTTGTTTTAACTCTCATGAAAATACTGAAATAATCTAAGTGAACCACTGTGGATTCATCAACAAATCAGCTTAGAAACTGATCAGCTCTCTAGATACTCTGAATTCTTAGTTTGTTAGTCTTCATTGTTTAATTGTTCTTCTAAAACGATTTGTGAATATTTCAAGAGTAATATTGTACGGCAATTCTCGCAGACATTCCCAAGATCAATCTGACATTTAGGGCACAGATTCAGACCAAATTCAGGTCGGTTAAAATTATTCTTCGATGATTTATGTTTATTGAAGTACGAAAAACATGCCCTAACTTTGATATCAAATGATGCTAATTCTTGTTGCAGTTTCAAATGATTCATAAGACAATGACCAGTTTCATTCGTAGCTTCGCTTGATGTTTGTCTAACATCACGGTTAATGTTAATATGCTCACGTAACCATACACTCCGATGATAAGACTTCTGCGGATAATACCACATCATAATGATGTGGCGCAGTCTCATCAAGTATACCTGGTACATGAAAAGAATACATATGTTTATCAAAATCATAAGGTAATTATAATTAATAAGACAGTAATGACCGAAGAGTAAAGCCAATAGGCTTATTAAAACTTCAGTTTGTTGGATATATGAGTATCACAACAGAGAAACTAGTGTCAGTATTTTAAATTGCTTAATAACCAATAATTATATCTATTAGTCCTACTCATTATGAATTTAAAAAAAATTCTATTGCAGTTTGAAAGGCACTTATTGAGAGAACTCTCAATTTTACATAAACAATCTGTGATACTTGAATGAATATATTCAAAAAATTACAACCCAGTACTCGTTTTTAATCTATTCACTACGAATCACATCGTTGGTCAAAATGAACACATTTTAATTTGTAAAAGTTAAGTACAAAGGAAAAAATGGGCAAGTCACTATGAAAAAGATGAATGACCCTATTTCTTTCGTTTCAGATGCATTATAAACATTATTATTTAAAAAAGAAGTGTCTGACAAGTCTGTTAAACAAACGCAAGAACTACTTTTCTTTTCGCTCCTGATAATCCCAGACTAAATATACACTGTAACTTGAACACAATAGAAAAGGAGCGAAATATGAGAAGGACGTTTTACTCCAACGTTAGTTTATGTATAAGAAAATGAAAGTATTTATAGAGTTGCTCATGACTATGAGCTCCTGGAATGTTCGTGAGTCCTGGTTAGTATAGTAGTAGTATGGCCAAACATTCATTTAGAATCGTAGCACGTGATTCAGCATTTGCAGATATATCTTCAAAGGTTTTATTCAAGGCAGATTGGGTAAATCGTTTTCTGGCGTCTCAGAACTTCTATAAACTTTCCAGAGGAATATTTCGAGGCTCCCCAACAGTTTCTAAATGAAGTTGCTAAATGAAAGATGGTTTATAGTTTGGTTTTGCTGATTTTAATCATATTTTTTGGAAGTTATTTGATAGAATCTAGGTACATCACAAACTGCTTTCATTATCAATAAACATTCTTCTTGTGGCTATTTTTTGTGGTCAAAGTGTTGCCAATATTCCTGTGGAATGTATTTGTGAGCTGGCCTACCGTAATATGACTTCCTAATGACGATGACAATTTTACCAGTCTCTTTATCTACGCTATTTTCTTACAATTAAGTTGATATGCTTTGATTGGACTGACTCGATCGACTACTCCACACTTAATGAAGGAACTACGAGAGATCGTCCTTCATCTCTATCAGTTTTAACAAAATTGTTGAACTACTGATCTTTCGTAGAACAGATAAATTTTCTAAAGAAGTTCAGGAAAACTAAATTTTGGGAAGTAAATAATTACGATAGGCAAAGCAGATATAACATAATACATTTACATATTTCAATGAGAATAATACTTACTTCGGTTAATTGGCTTATAATTGTCAGAACTATTAATAATACAATGAGCATGTTATCAAAATGCAGTGAATTTACTGATGGCCGACATACTATAATTTTCCTAAGGAACAGTCTATATTTCAGTTCGACCCGGGCATTGATTATATCATACAATACATTTTGATAGAACGGACCATTAAAAGCAACTGAATACTGTGGAGTGTCGTTTAATTTCAAACGAACAGCATTTAAATACTCACTTTCAACAAATCTTTTAGACTGAAAGAAATCGTGTGAGATTAAAGAGGCTAGAGAAAGTAAACAACTATTCACAGCATCAATAAATAATATGATTACAATGATGATCAATATCCACATGTAATGGAGGCTGTTTGCATTAGTTATTGTATTCTTCTCATGATTACTCCAACTCAAATCAAATAACATTTTATAATGTTCCGATTCATCAGGTGTTAGTGGAAGTGTTGGACGATGGCCTTGTTGAACTGCTTGTTTCTCCTGTATATATTTAGAAATAGATGTATATAATTTCATGAATAAATAGCTTAAATCTATATTCGTATGATACTGCAAATGAATATGCATAGACAAAAACGTTGACAGCTACTTACCGCTAGTGTATGTGGTATGTGGTTAATTTTCTTTAATCACCTACAGTTTTCATATGGTAGATCGTATTGTAGAAGAATAAAGTTCCCAACAGTCAGCCATCCTTCAACCTTACCAAATATCTTGTGGATTTCCTAGGGTTGTATCCATAAGTTAAGTTTAAAGTAGGTTTGCTTAAGTCCTACAACTCACTGTGCTATCGTATTTATTCTTCTATGTGTAAAACTCTGCACTCATTTCTGGTATATCCAACAAAATTTCCTCACTCCTCTGAAATCCATTTTGAAAACATCAATGGTAAATGAAAACCATTCAATATCTCACATTATCGATATTAAGAAAGTGATACGACTGTAAAATTAGATTTCACTTTCAAAAATTTCTCACTGATGGTGAGCGAAACAAAATGGCTACTAAACAGAATAAGATAAGAAGCTATCGTGATGAACAATGACAAATTATTCCTGTAATATTCGTCTTAAACATTAATTAAGCCTGAGAGGACTACATGTATTGCATACTACCTTCATGATCCTTACATACATCTAATGTTACAAAAGTTTATATGCAAATGTTATACCAACCACAGTTCTTTATTACTGATTTTTAGCAACTCAGCATCTACTGACAACTTCATCCATACTACCTCAAAAGGACAAATTCAACTACTACTTCTAAACAGATCAGAATCATGTTGTCCTCTATTTACTGGTAATTTTTTTTTGACTTACCATTTCCATTAATACCACATACTAAGGAGACTAAAACTTTCAATGCAACCAATCTAATTATAACAAATATCTTAGTGAACGGTCTCCAACACTGAAATGTCGATACGTGTTACTTGATTAAGGAAGCAAACTAGTCACATTTTTAAATGTTTTCATGTGTTAATCAATGATATAGTGAATAATAATTAAAAATCATTGAATTTCTTTGTAAAATACCAGATTACCTGCTGAATATATGCTGGAGTTATATAATGATTATCAAATGATATGTTATTCAACCAACGATTTCTAAATATAGTTGATTTCACAACTAACTGCATCATGGTGTACAATGTCCATAGAAATAAAAGCGCAGAAATTAAAAAGTCCATTTCTTCAAATTGTTTCAAGGCGCTATCTAAATGCTTAAAGTCAGTACGTTCTTCATCCACTTTACTAGTCATTCGATCAAGTTCATCAGAATTTATGATGAAAGTGACATTTTCCTTTCCAACAACATCAAATATCCTCTCCAATCTGTCTGTTATATTCTTTATATTTAAAAGTTTCGAACTATTTGCTATAAATTGACCAATGTTATTGCATGATTCATTAGGTGCATGTATTTCACTACATATATACTTTAGATCTTTTACGTAGGAACAACCTTTAAATGGATTATGTTTTTCCGGAAGGTCTACATCTTCTATATATGATTTTAACTCAAGCCTGCATTTTAAATAAGCTTTATTCATAAATTCTGAACATAAAGTGAAATGAAAATCAGCGCTATTACACCGTTTATGTAGTTTTTCAACCTTTTCGTTACCATTCTCAACTGCTGATGAAAAATGCACCGTAGCATAATGACTATCTGTCAGCACTGAACGTATATAGTGTAACATAGAATTAAAGTCATTAACTAATCTTTCAAGTAAAACCATGAAGGAATTGAACAAAGGACGATTAAATTCATATGCAGTGTATGAACTTTGATCAATCTTTGAGATAATACAGTCAAATGAACTTGTGAACCCTTCAAAATTGTATAAAACACTTCGACCCAACTCAGAAATACATAAATCAGAAGCATATAATAGTATTAAGCATCTTACATCACCTGTAGCTAAATAAGGAAATGTCATTAGTGCGATACATCGGAAATTTGATGAAAAGGCATATATTGAAGACATTATAATGTAAGCACTTGATAATGTTGATATATATGGACTTTGATCTAATACAGTAACAAACAAACCATAAGCAATAAATCCAATCATTATTCCAAATATTAATCCAAATAAATTATGACTAAATATTTCTGATGAAGTAAGATCTGATTTGGTCTCTTGTGGTGATTTGTCGAAATTCCATTTTTTACATTTTAATAGGAACCAATTAATTAGATAATAAAATGGTTTGCAAATGATTGAAGCGTTTCCCAACCATTTTGAAAATTTTATTAATCTATCTTTGCTCAAACCTTTTTTTTCTTTGTGTTCGTCATGTTTTTGATGATCAGTAAAATCAGTATTTTCTATTATCATTTGTGGTGTTGATATTTAAAATGGTACGTGCAGAAAGCCTCGTCAAGTCACAGGTATTTTAGAAATGAGGTTCATGTGAAAATAAAATGAATGCATTGTTACTATCATCGTCACTGACACAAGGTACACCATTCTCATGATCGTATTCTGGCTTTTTTTATAACTGGTGTTTTACTAAACTATTTGATCTCGTCACATTTGATTTGATTTTCATTTGTCAAACACGACTCTCTCTAAAGTAGACACAATTCATACAACCAATGAATTCCATAGATCATGTAAGAAAAACTTTAAAAATTCAAGTTTATGTATATTTTAATCGAAAATCAATGATCGATTGAGTGAATATTGTATCAAATGATCAGGTAATTCAATAAATATGTTGATAATAATAATAATAATGGGCAGTTATAATGTTGACTGATTTGTTTTGATTCAGTGAACGGAAAATCCTTATTATGATTCTTGAGTCTGATTCAATTACAATATACTCATACTTCCTAAGATACTTAGCCCAGCCGATGGAAGTGAATGAGAGAGAATGTTTGAACTCTTAAATTCAGTAGGTCAAATTATTTGTGTACACCTACTTCATGTGTTTATGAATCTATTTCTAATCCGAATGAAGATATGCGGACAATCACCTTGGCTATGTGAAAAATTTACTTGCATTCACGGCAAGCCTAGCTCATTCCACTTCCCTTTCAGTACAGTTCAAATGTGTCATCTACACGACTTTCATAACGTATGTCATACCTGTATTCATTCAGTCCATCACTTTAAGTTAATATATTGCACAATCTCGCATTCATTTATATACTGAAACGCTTGTGACAACCCTGATTAATCTAATTCAATCAAAAACATGGTACATTTTATTTTTTTGCATTATCAAACTTATTATTGTTCGAAACCGTTTGATATGGATTTTAAACTTGTTAGTTATTTATAGCACTTATTACCACAAATGGTTCATGAAATACACAATGATGTCAAAATATTCTTTCAAGGTTAATTTAAAATTTAATAGGTTAGGAAAATTAAGGTGAGGTGTGAAAAATAACGATTAATGGTACAACAACGTATTTCACTCAGTACATACAGTCCTACGGTGCGTAATATGCGCATCCTATGAAATCATAGGAGTTGTCGAAATCTTCCGTATTACTCTGAAACCAATTATTGATTGTATGATCTGCCTACAGCAAATAATAAGAGACAACAGGTGCATACAAAAACTAATAATTTTTAAGATGAAGTACTTGGTAATACTCGAGATACTGGAAAGCTCAACGAATTAGAAATAGCCCTCACCAATAGATTCCAGGCCCTGCACGATCTATTCAATGGAGACGAAACAACATTGGAGAACAGTTGGAAAGGGATCAAGGAGGCAATCACTTCAACATATCACGAAGTTCTGGGTTGCAGGAAGTACCACCACAAGGAATGGATCTCTGTTGGTACTCTTGAAAAAATCGAAGAAAGGAGGAACAAGAGGGCAGCAACCAATGTCAGCCGAACAAGAGCAGAGAAAGTTAAGGCACAGAAATGGCTGAAAAATAAATACTAAAATGAAATGATTTTCATCACAGTTAAACTAACGAACTGATCTTAGCCAAAGCACTTCTGAAAACCTGAAAGCATTAGACGGCTGGATTAAGTGAAGTTACACACGAATACCGTTAGATGCCGCCTCAGTGGTCTAAAATTTAAGAGTGATACGGAAGTTTTTGGGCTCGATTCTAGCGTGTAGGGTCGTGGGTGAGCAGAATTGAGGAGCCCCATACTAGGTTTTCATCAGAAGTCTAGCTAAGATCAGTTCGTGATTCCAAATGTTGAAATAATAAAGCCTTCCTAAATCCCTTACATTAAACTGGAATAATCAACCATATAACTTTTATGTCAGATGAACATGTCAAACAAATATTTTAATCAACAATATATACACAAATGAGAAACAACCTATTGAGGAAATTCTCGGAGTACTAGTGAGAAGATGTGACAAGTAGAGTTCAACCCTGTCGGGTGTAGGCAGTAACTACAAAAGACAAATGGGTGAGGTCGCGCAAAATCCCTAGATCAATCAAATTTACACATTAACACCGTCGAATTCCGGTCCAGTGGTTCAATGGTTAGGCGTTCGCGCAGGATACCGAAAGTTCCGGGTTCGAATCCTGCGAGGTGCAGGAGTCGTCGGTGCGCACTGCTGATGAGTCCCATACCAGGACGAAACGGTCGTCCAGTGCTTCCAGGTTTCTAATGATGGTCTAACAATGAATGTTTGATGATTTCAAATGTGTTAAAAACACTAATCTCCATAACTCTAATTGACATACATTGTTGTTAACAGTTTTTGTCAATTCATGTAAACAAATAATTTTTTTTAAGCATTGGAATTTGAAAAATTTTTAGACTCAGTATAGAATAGCTGCATTTCTTTTCATCATTTTCGTCAGCGCATATTAGTGATCTTTACTTAGTTAATTTTAAATATCACGCATTTGTATTTTCTTTTTCTTCATCTATTCAATACTGTTAAAAATCTACTTCAACCGCCGTGGAAAATATTGGTGTACCGCATATCAAACATATACGATCCAAGGTTATTTGACACGTGCGACAAAAATAAGCACCACATTTAATTCGATTTTGTTCTTGTAGATTCCCGTCACTACCACAAAATGCACACATGGCACGTCAAACTCAGAATAACTGAAGAATATATGCAACAATCTTCCAAATCGTGACAACATTTGCGATCGATGTTTTTGCGTGATATCGATCTTTTTAATTTTGTGTGCAATACGACAGTGGAGGCCATGGTGATTGCTTATGTTTATGCGAGGCCAGGCTGCCCGCTTAGCTGCTCTCTTTGGATAGTACCACATCATGATTATATGTTGTAAACGCATAATTTACACCTGAGAAAACAATGATAGTTTAATTAAAGTAATAATCTGTGATGAAATATCAAAAGATCATTTCATACATGAACTTTGTCCTAATTAATTGGCCGATGTCATCATTAAGTACAGTGACACGTTTGAGAAAATAGAATTTACTCCTAAGCAGCGGATGACCTCCTGTAAAATAGAACTTCTTATAAGATTACAATGATTCTTTTCGGCTGCCTTACAACAGAAAAAGAGACTACCATAGATATGAAACTAATAATCCAGTGTTGAGATTTGTTTACTGCTGACTTTATGAATCAGCACTATGACCTGACTTGGAAATCTACAGGACTGCTGAATTTCGCAAGCACTATCCAGTCTATGTATATGATTCGGTAAAAACGTCTAAACATAAGGAGTTTTCCATTCATAATTTTAATTTGATCTGCTTCGACTAACAGTTTTATTATGCCAATTGTCAAAAGTTATTAGAAGCCAAGATTCCTATTTCGTTACGAGCTCTTATTATTAATTGCATAACGTTTTAGGGTCTTTGGATCATTGTAATACACGATAACACAAACAGACCCATACTTCGATTAAACTAGTGATGTTAGACAGCATTATATTAAACTTTTTTTTATAGGCAGTATGAAGTGTTTAAGTGTCTTGTGAAAACTTTGATAGGTTTACTGTTGTATCAAATTGCACGCTTAACAAACCTGTCATAAATGTGAGTGCCCATTCAATACACTCACCACAATAACTTCTTTAGTAGTTAACTTCACTCAAAAAAAATATAATTGTGCCTTAATTACTTACGCCTGTAACTATCAATGAAGCATAGGCCGCCCACCAGCATTCTCTCACTTATTCTGTCCTGCGACTTCTTTCCACTTCTATCCAATCGCTGTTCATTCTTTTCATGTGTGCCTCAAATTCTCTCCATAATGTGTTCTTTGGTTTTCCTCCTCAACTTTGGCCTTGAGGATTGCAAATGAGGGATGGCCATGTGATGAACGTAATTGCGTGCTTTCTCTACTCTGTGTACTATCCACTTCCAGTGCTTCTGTCTGATTTCTTCTTCTGCTGGAACCTGGTTTGTTCTCTCTCACAGTAGTCTGATGCTGATATTGTCTGGCTAACAGGTCCTCAGTATCTTGTATAGACAAATGTAACTAAACATCCTTATCGTACAGATAATGTCTTTTGTGGTTCTCCAAGTTTCTGCTCCATACAGTTAAACTTTCGTGAAGTTTGTATTAAAAATCCTGATTTCTGTGTTGGTTGATAGATGTTTTTGATCGCAGATGTTCTTCAATTGTCTTTACATGTGCATCAGATGGCCTTTGTTTATCAATAATGCTGTATAAATAGTCAAATCCTTTGTTGGGCATTTCTGAACGATTGAGTACAGCCTTGCATAGAATTGATCCTTAACGTCTTCATTGTTATCAGTTGTAGGTGCATAGCACTGGATGACATTTATTATGCTCCGATCTTTCTTTGTTTTGAAGAATGGTTCAAAGATGCTGTGTTTATGAGATTCCCATCCTATCAGTACCTTTTGTGCTTGTTTGGACAGCATCAGTTCAACGTTTTGTGTATGCGGAACATTTTCTTCTCTATGGCCGGAGTATGATACCAACTCTTATCAAGCGATTTTTGTCGTCGAAAATGCATCCCATGTGCTTCAGTGATTCCAAGTACCACAACCATGTATCTTTTAATTTCTGAATCAACTTGAATGACTATCCTGTTCTTCCAGATAATACGAACATTTAATGTCCAAATATTATTATTATTCTGGTTATGAAAAAGGGAATCATCTTCGTGACTTCCGAAGAAACTTGGCTTACATCATGAGACGTCATTACTGTTCTAAATAAAGACCTTCTAACTCCCATGCCTGATCCTCAAACTACATCCAGATTTGGAACGTACAGCAGCATTACAGGAGCTCCGTACGGAGTAACATGTCAGCTGTTATTATGTGGACAAAAGAGAAGGGGAAACTTGCAAACCACTACGTAGTGTAAGCTTTCAATGAAATATCATTATTGGTTTGTTTGTTTGTTTGTTCATATTTCTTTTCTCCTATTTAGTATTTATTCATTCATAGTCAATTGATAATCATTCCACACCTGTCTATCATGAATTTATATTCACATTTTACTCTTCTTATGACTGGCTATTTACTATGCTGTTTGTTTGTTTGTTTATTTATTGAAATTTATTTATCTCTTTGTTTATTTATTTATGAATTTTTTATTTACTTGCAATTGAAAAAAAACCGAACCGCACATCCACCAACTGCATACACATACACACACAACACACTTAGTAGCGTCCAGCGAGAGAGAGACCAACAGAGGGAGATTCTAGGGAAACAAGAATCATTTCTAAACAATGCGTGTAAATGAATAGACAATTCACTCTTTCTCTTCATATTTACTGCATTCTAGAAACTAGTATACATACGCATTCTATTCAGATTCTATTCAGTCATGGATTCAGTAAAAACCACATTGTATTATTATGTTGTTATTGAATGAATCCAATAATTATCAGCTGTGAATTCTTTTTAAACATGAGCGATAGTTTTTCCATTTTGGAAATAATTTTCATTCTCCATTAAGTCGCATATCTAATCAAAAATTCATGAATAATAATAATAATCACAATAATAATAATAATAATCACAATAATAATTGTGCTTGTTATTCCCAGTAAAGAATAAATGGCATGTTGCTATGCTACTCACAAACTGTTCCATTATGATCAAATCCGAATTTTAATTCATCAGTGTTGTGAGTGAATACATTTTGTCAAGTGTAACTGACTTTCTTCTTTCAAGGGATAATCCTTTTGAAATTCGAATGGTCAAAGTGTTTGCTTGGCATTCTTCTGATAAAATGGTCTTATCATTCCAATTCGCTTCATTGTTCACATTGATTTTCAACTTGAATGCGTAACTCAAAATATCCACTACAAGCATTGATTCAATGACGATTACACAACTTACTATATAGAAGTGATTAGATCGATTACGGATCGAATATATGATTCGAGAAGTACAATTCAATGAAGTAAAGTTAAAAAGTGAAAATGAGTCATGAGGAATTCAGAAGATTAGAATTTGAGAGAGGACAATGAATGGACGCATCTGCGCCATTGTACTCAATGTTGAGCCATGTAATTCGAAATCTCTAAACATCCGTTACTATCGTCTCATGGACACCAGCCACGTATTCCACACATATTAACATGGCTCAGTTGAGTTGTCATTGATTACATGGATTAGTCGTATGTTTGTATCTAAGCAGTTCACAAGCTGACTCCACATCTCATCGTTTCCGGAGGCAGACAGGATGAGTTTGCGAGCATCTGCCAGTTCAATAGATGCTACTGAAATCCATAGCTCTTTATTAGCACAGCATGCATTAGAGTCCAATTATAACTGAATGGCAGCTGAAAATCTGAAAGTACATTGCAATCGTCAAATACCTATGTTCGACTCCACAGGAGTGAATACCACAACCACGAACAGGTCAAATCCAGAACATTCAGGCTAAATATTAGACAAATAAGTCGGCATCCAGTAACTCCACTCAGCAAGCTATATCCAAACAACCATGTTTCGGTGTCGATGATGAATCATTACATCACATCCAACATCGACTGAATTTCACCAGTCACCATTTATCACTCAAACTCAGAGAATAACATCTCGATAACAGTAACTAACAAAAGAGTTATGTTTGCATCTTTTTATCTTTAATTTACTCTGTCATATTTGTCACAACGAATCATTAGCGGGCGGCATAAAATATGTGAATTCTTTGTAGCCTACACTCCCGAAGTTAGAGCTATTCTACTGAATAAGTTGTAGAGGTTTGAAGCAGAATTATTGGTAAAACATTTGAATCCGTCAAAACTATCCATTTAAGAAACATTTATGAAAATTAACAAACAATTCGTAACTCATAGCAACAGTATTAATTTCGAAAGACACATTAGGTAATCAAACTTTTGATTACTGTTAATAATTCTGCTACCTCTACTACGATGATAATTGAATTGACAATTGCGTCTCAGTATCAATGTGTTATAGTAACTTGAACTGATGTACTTACATTAGTACGAATGTACGAAGTTCTACGTTGTAATTGACTGAATGATATCATCACTAGCAACAATCATCAGCTGAATCAATAAAATGAGACATAGTAGTTGGATATGATATCCAGTTGATATCGTATTCGTTTGTGACATCACAGAGGAAAAATATAAATGTATAAATATGTTTAAAACAATTAGTCCCTTTTATAAATTTTGATAGAACAGTGAGAAGACGTAATTGATCTGAAAAATGTGATGTATTTGCGCTATACATTTCGAACAATCTGGTCACACATATTTACTTGTCAAGGCATTTTATATGAAGATGAATAAAAGGTCAATTCTTTTCATATTACGTTAATTTTCTCTCTCCTTTATTTACAATTATCACCCTATGTCTATTTGAACTTTTATTCAAATGACCTTTTATTCATCTTCATATAAAATGCCTTGACAAGTAAATATGTGTGACCAGATTGTTCGAAATGTATAGCGCAAATACATCACATTTTTCAGATCAATTACGTCTTCTCACTGTTCTATCAAAGTATAAATATGTGTCACTTCATTGGTGTGATCTTACATCTTCAAGTGAAAATCACGAGTTCTGTTTCATATTATTCAATCACACAATCACTCGTTGCATTGTCCACCACTCGAGGAACAATCATTTTCCAGTGTTTAGTTATTATTATCATTGCACAAATAAGTCATCTTATTATTTGTAATTATTTTCATTTGTTCTATCAGTGAATCCCATTGTTCACTCACACAATATAACATAATTTCACACCTATTCCGACACACACACACACACACCGATACACATTCACAATGGCTTACAAACATTATTATTTTGTATACTGAAAGTAAATATATATTGAAAGTTTATGATATACTGGAATATTTCTACTAGAAGAAAGTATAATTAATAAAAATACTCAATTTACATGTTGTCTTATTTTAATAATCCCACTTGATATTAATATTATTATTACTTTTATTTAGGCGTTATACTGGTATAATATTTTAATTCATATCACTTTTACAATAAACCTCTCTTTATTAAAACAAACTTCACAGTTTCATAATCATCAAAACTAAATCTAATTAAGTGTTTCACTTTGTATTTTTAAGAGTCATTCAGTTGTGTTGAAAGATCATTTACACTGTGGAATTTTCGCTTTCTCTGTTATTATTGACTCATACTAGATTGCCTTGTTTGATTAGAACATTTTCACTTGAATATTCATGTATATTTGAGTAAAGCTTGATGCCAATCTAATTGAAAACAATATTGTCGGCTTATATTTGGTGTTCCCGTGAATTATCAACTGAACTCATAAATGATCATTTGAAAATATTCATATTTCAACGAAATCATATTGAATAGATTAGATGGTCAATTGCATAGAACTACCATTCCACTCAAATTTATCAACATCCCATGCATAGTTTTACATTATCAATCAGTGATTTGTAGTGGTTCTCATACAATCTGGAACAACTTATTCACTTAGCTAGAAATCAATAGACTGTGATGACTGTTCAGTAATGATTGATTGAATGATTCGAATTAGTCACCAATATTTTGTAGTCAAATCATATTCAACTGATTTATCAGTTGCTAATACAAATTTTGTATAAGGCGCAACCAGTTTTCCAGTTTGGCTTTGGTTTGTTTGTAAAAAATCAACGTAGAATAATAATAATAATAATAATAATAATAATAATAATAATGCCACACTGAACTTGATGCACACGTTCGGGTCAATTTCACAGAATGAATTTTGGGGAAGAGAACAACCGAAACATACTTTTCACCTTTATCCTACTAATTCTTTGAAACAATTGTTATTTCCCCTACAACTTTCCGTATTCAGTTGTACAATTGGGTAGTATGCCTGAGATAAGCAACAGGTGTACACTAATCCATGTCTACGTAAATTAATAGGCATATATATGTTAATGGTTGAGCAAATGTACACAAATGAAATGTAACTCCTTTTTCTCTTACTACCTGAAACTTTTCAATTTGTTATTAGGATAACTTCTGTTTCAAGTGATGATGGTATTAGTTTTGCACAATTATCTGTAGGAGGTTGTACCTAGTGCAGTGGAATAATAGAGTATGAGTAGTGTGAACGAGAATACTCATTTGTGTGGCCGAATTAATCACTAATATGCAAAAAGTCACAACAATCATGAAAACTTGTGTATTAAGCGTTTTGGTTAGCAGCAGCTGTTTCTTCTTTATCAATATATATATATATATATATATATATAATTTTATTCAAATTTCGATGTTTAATTAAGATATCATGTTGTCTATTCACTTTTTTCACCATTGTCTCTATACTTGAGTCATCAAATAATCTTTTGTTTATGGAACACTTGGGGTTCAGTTGATATAAGTGTGATGCAGGACTACTATATTATAACCATAACGGTGATTCTGTCACATGAAACTATAATCTGAATGAAATCCGACAAAAATAATACATATACTGTAAAAAAGATGTTATGCAGTCTTTCCTCTTACCACTCAGATGATTTATAAATTCATAAGCTACTTATTTACATTAGTAGTATCGTGAATATACTGGGTAATATAACAACGTTGAAGAAATTTCAAAATAGCGATACGCGAACTAGGAAGTTTCTTTAATAGTCTTTATATGTGACACCTTGTTATCAATATAATTACTTCAGTAGTTATCGTTTTTTCGTCTGTTCTCAAACTTAAATTGAGATACGAAGGACGTTGATATCAGTCACTATATCTAAGTGACATGATAAGTGTTGACAGAAGATAATTTTAAGGTTAATACTGTTTTCAAATACTAAAGTTTTTACTCATCTATGAATGATGTTTAACAACGATTATAAGTAAGTTTTTCAGTGAATTTCGTCTTCAAAATCTTTCTTCCTGCTCGTTGGATTATAATCCGTACATGACCTATTCATTTTTATTTTCCTATTGTCTAAATAGGCTACTATATTTAATCAAGACGGATGTATGCTTGATACTGATTTTTAACAAATGCAACTGTATTTGTACAAATAAACTTTCACAAGTCGATTTAAACTACTTATGTTTATGCTTAGTAGAATGTTTGTATAAACAAAAACGTCAGTTTTTTCGATGAGTGGATTTATTTCGAACTGATATTAATGAAAATAAAGAATTAATAATAGTAATAGTAATAATAATAATAATAATAATAAAATTCACTAGCCATTCTTTTCTTTTTTTCTCCAGTTTTACCAATATTGATATTTTTTTAATCAGAATATTTTTGATGGTTACTAATATTATTAGTAAGTACCCTGTTCTCCGCTTGAAATAAGTTATAATAATGTGAGAGACAAAGATAGACAAAGATAAGAAGAAATACATAAATCAAAACAAAAACAAAACTTTGTCACAGAAAACTCCTTATGCCAAACGAACAAATAATTAAATTTCACTCTTGTTTTTGAGTAAATTCACATTCAGTCATGATTATCATTACTTTTGTACAATGCATCAATAAATGGTTGGTTCATTCATTTTAAGTTATACTTTTCTCATTATTGAAATTATGAATCTGTTTGCCAGTTACTTGTCATTGGTTACACAAAAATATTTGCAAAAACACTATACATCATAATGATATCATAGTGAAAAATTTTGTTGAATTTCTGACCGATTATCAGATCACTTCAGTTTGTGTTGTCCTTTTCAATGTATGCTTAAACGCATACTATGTTAATAGGGAAGCATATTTAGTTATCAACAAACAGCTAGCAGTTGGCTTTTCTAGAGACAGTTAAATCGATTATAAGATACATTAAGGGGAACAGTGATGAAAGAACTGATTTCATTTGAAAGAAGATGAGCAGTAAGTAGTGTTCTTAGTAGCTGTTATCATAACTCTCACTTATGGAGTGAGAGAGAGAGAGAGATTTCTGTCTCAAGAAATATCAAATTTCTACTTATATACAAACACAAGGAGGATAGGAAAATTCAAGAAAAAGATAGCAAGACAAAAAATTTAAATGTAAAACTTGTCAAGAAAATGTATTTTCACTGTTGATGAATTATGTATGATATTGAAATGTAGCAGTGGATTTTGTCAGTAAATCTGTTGATGGTGATTTAAAAAATAACAAACTAGTTTTATTATTATTGTTATTACTATTATTATGACTAACATCATCTTTATCATCAGTTCCAATGCATGTATTGCCGCCAATATTACTAGTTGAAAATGTAGTGTTATACTTTGAATGATGTTGATGCTGATGCTGATCATAGTGAACTGGATACAACATTGACTTCGTCGAATTCAATGACTCTTGTAAGCCTAACTCTCTATGCGTATAATTCGGAATGTTCATATCACTGGGAAGATTATAGATTAATTGATGACTAGCACTATGTAAAATTGATGACTGATCAGTATTTGTTTCTTCATTATGATTTAAGTGAGTAGAGCCTCGTAAACAATTCATAAATTGTCTATCATGTGATTCCGAATGTGGATGAGAATGTGGATGATGCTGTAGATCTTCATCTGAAGAACCAGATAAAGAATCATTATTATTATTAGCAGTATTAATGTTATTGTCCACTTGCAATGCAGAAGAATCAAAATGTTTTAACTTATTCGTCCAGCTTGAAGGAAATGTAGCATATTGATTGATAGTATTCAAATTAGATGTGAATTGATTAGTCGATAGAGAGGCAGTACTTGGCCATTGATTATTATTTAAGTAACATGATAATTCTGTTTTCTGTTGTACAATTGGCGATAAACTATCATGTTGTTGTTGATGATGTGACGGAATTGTCGACTGTGATGTGACTGTAGTATCAATTAAATTTGATGTAGAAAAATTCGTGGAACGATTCATTTCAGAAATTGACCTACCAGTTGAATGAGTAAACATATTCGGATATGAATTTGACATATAATTTAACTGATCTAGATTATTATTACTATTGTTAGCATGACTATACTTCAAGTTGTTCTGATGCGCGTCAAACGATAATAAATTATTTGATATGCTCATATTATTAGATAAATAACTAGAATAGGTTTGTGCATGTGACAAGAGCATTGATGAATAATTCTGTGGATAAAATGATGATGATGACGATGTTGAATTCATGATCATCATAGGGATTGTTGTATCATTCTGTGATTGTATTCTATAAGAATCATCATTGTTTAAAGTGTTCAAATGATCTCTGTCATTATTCACAGGATTACTAGTATTATTGTGATCATTATTATTGTTATGATTATTATTATTGATTAAATCCGACCCTAATAATCCATTAGTTAATAAATTCATTTTATTGTTATTTGATGCTGCTGATAAATTTTGTAGAACCGGATTAAATTCTTGAAAATTACGCTCAGAATTTGTGCCAATAAAATCATGACTATCATGATTTATTGCATTACTGAATAAATTATTTTCTAATGAGTTTGAGATTGATTTATGGATTGCGTATTTCTTGTCTATTTCGCCATTTCTGTTGTTATGTTGTTTGTGTTGAACACTTTCTGTACAATGATCAATATCTTTCGAGGTAGAACCTGATGATAAGGATGAGATTGATGACATTATTGATGGAGTCAAACGTGTCATTATTGTTTCGTCAGATTGTTTTATTGATAGATTTTCATGTAGTGAATCATATTTTCCAGATATGAATGGTGTTAAGCCTGAAATAGGGAAAATAAAACTTTCTAGTAAAAGAGATAAAAGAAAGAAATTCATGAAGTTGAAATTTTTCTCAAGAGAATATGACTATATTATAATTTACCAACATATATAAAATAATGCAGTTTTGTGGCTCAAGTTGATGCTATCGATAGTGTTATGTTAATAGTTTTGTTCAGAATAGCACTAAAGAGGCTGGAATTAAGACATCCAATTTCAAGCATTCACTATCTAATTAATATCTATGTATCTGAACAATGCTTGTTAATGGAGTTAAGTGTTCTTAACTTCCAGACTAACTAGACTGACTGATTTTTTATGAAATGTTATGGAATAACTAGTGATTTACCTGTGCTCATTGTGGGCGCAGAGCTGAAGGGATTGGAACAATTACTCGCATCTGATGAAAATGCAGGAGGTTGATTTGGTAAACTTGACGGTACAGTTCCGTTTTCAAGGGCTCCATTAGTATCATTTAAATTTGACCGATTTTTTGTTGAAGCTACATCCGGTTGAAGATTGAAATAAAATTTCTGCGAATTCAATAAATCCATTTGCATATCTAGATTCCACAAATCAGACGGTAGCTTGCAGTCAAAGCTTTGATTACGTCCAGGACTTTGAGGTAATGTCACTGACGAATCAAATGTTTGAGGAGTGTAAGCACAATTACTTTGATGTTTTGGCGTTGAACTTATTGACGTGTCACTGATTACTTCGTCTAAGGAATTAGACCTTCTATCGAGTATTTGGCAGTTAAGTTGTGTTGTAGTTGCGTTCTTAATAACACTGTGACTGGTATTGGAACTGTTAATTGCCGAACTGACTGAAGCGGTAAAATTACTACTACCAGAAGACACTAAACCAGCTGCTGCAGGATGTATAGCAGCTGCAGCGACTAAACTTGCCGGCCAAAATCGGTTATTCGAAGGTCTAAAACAAGAAAACACGAATTAAATACATCCAAGGTGAATATTTTTAAACGGCAACTCGGTTTTACCCCCAAGTCAAGTGTTTACTGAAATAACAGCGACTGGATATATATATATATATAATATGGTAGTCGTAATAATAGGAGCAAAGTAAACTACTGCTTTTTCATCTACAAATTCACTTCAGGATTATGACAATTAAAACCATACAATAGAATATTTATCATTTCATAAAGTTAAAGATATATCTTCAATGTGTTCTCAACTTCATAACGCTAATTTTTAAAGATTTTTTTTCAAACACCGACAGATTGCTTCGTGTTGCATAATTTCCCTCTGATATTCAGTTTAATTTTTAAAAATAAAACGTGAAATCAGAGAAAACAAAAAAAATCCTGATAATATACAACAGAAGTTAACTTGGCAAGAAATAGATCGTTAAGCGTATTAACTTCTATTAACCTGTAGTGAGCAATATAAACAGCCATTTTCAACAAGAAATACTTGGCTTTCTAATGTAAAACCCCTCAGTAAAGTTTACGATTCACATTAATAAATCAACAAAAAATTTACTAGACACTGACGAGTTGCATCAAATTAGCTTTATGCACATGATTCAATTTATTTATAACTGGATTCGTACAGAATGTCAAGCGCGATAGTAAACTGATGACATAGTGATTTCCGTGAAGATCGACCATTATATTATTTGCGTATAATAACTAAACTACTCGCAAGTAGCTTATATTTTGCTAAATATTTACAAAGTCAACGAGTCTTTAAGATCATTAACATATAAATTCTCCTACATTCATGATTTCCTTTTTAGAAATTGTAGGTCAAGAATAAAAAGAGAACCAGTACTACTATTAAAGCATGACTCATGTATTTTGTGTTGTTGAATTTCTTTTTCAATGTTTTTTTTCAACTTTCCAACATCCTGAACAATTGAATATTCTATTCATATTATTAAACATATTTCAGTCCCGGAAGTTAAAAATTCAGACAAATAATTTCTAGTTGTATTTAAACCTTGTTATATATTTGTACGTGCATAGGACAATCGATGATAGATATATTCTACTTTTTCAGTTTAACTTTTCTGACAGTATTTGAATTTTGAGTGATGATATTGAATTCTACTCTAGTTTTAATTGATTATCTAAGCGCAAATCAATAGGATTACAAGGTCATATGGTAGTAAACGTTGATTAGTTATGTGTCTATTTTAGTTACTTGCCTATCTGATTTTATTGCTACATTCATAAAGTGCTGATTAGTCATAATAATTTATGATCATTATCGTTATTATCATTATTACTGTTACTATTATCATTGCCATTATTATTATATTTATTATTACTCTGTAATGATTACTATGATTATAATTAGTAGTATTGTTATGTTTGTTAAGTTGCTGATGAATAATTCTATGTCAAAAATAAATGTACTATTATTTATCAAAAATATCTACTTCATTTATTCACCAGTGTGAGATAAAATATGAATAATTGGTGATATTGATTACATGGTTATGTGTGCGTGTGTGCTCTGGAGAATAATAAATGACAAATAGCTCACATATTTATGAAATTTAATATTAGTACATATGATGCTACTGAAATTTTTATGCGATTGTAGAGATTTTCAAAGAATGAACTTTCTGATAATTATTTAGTCTACAGTTATCAAAATTTATATGACAGATCACAAGGTTTGGTACATAACAGTTTAGCTATATGAACACTTAGATACTTGTTGATGTTTACTGTATCAGGGAAATTATTACTTTATGTGTTAGTTTAGAATAATTGAAGCAAGCAAGACAAGCTGTTTAACTGACGTTCTTATAAGCAGATAGTTCGAAAGGGAGATTCAACAAAAAAGCCTAAACTTGATGTTAATAGTTAGCTAGTGAAGTAAGTATATGACTGGAAATTCAAAAGGTACTTTTTTGAAAGTTCATGTAATATTTGAAAGACTGTTGGCTATGCAATTTTCAGATAAGTTTTCTACAATTTAAAATCGTAAAAAAGACGATTGACAGCCTATTTCATTCATGAAGCGAGCATATTACAAATAATATGCACGTAATTGAGACGTTTGAAAGTATATTCTCGTAAACTAAAACACATCCTGCTCCTCGTATTAGGCGGACAAAGTAACTGACTAGTATACAAAGATTAACGGAGCATTATTTTCAAATTGTACAGCAAAGACGACAAGAAACAGCATTGGACATAATGTATACCTGTTCAGACTTCATCTCTACTGATCTAAGAACACATTTAACCAACCAAGTTTCAGAACTATGAGGGTCAAAGGAAGCAACAACAAAGAACACCGCTTCAGAATTGCAGATAGTTTTATTGCACTTTAAAATTTACTGTGTGCAGTAGACCCGGTCTTTGATGCATCTGTAAATTTCATATTTTAACCAGAGAACATTGTCTTACTGTACTTGTTATTCGATAAAAATATGAATTATTACACTGACCGGCTACTCTATATTATCTTAATTGATGAAAGAAATGATTAAGAAGAAAACTTTCAAATATATAATGATCATATGATTGAGAAATAATAAACAGTCTACCTGCTTGTTGCAGCTTTTTTCTTCTTACTAATAACATGTGATTCATTGCAACCCATGGAATTTGACATTCTGTTTGATGATCCATCGACATTGTTACAATTATTTCCAAGTGGTACAAAATTTGAAGAATCTAACATTGGTTGTAAAATACGACGTCTTGCATTGATAAACCAATTATTTACTTGTAATAATGTTAAATTTGTTTGACTTGCAATTTGTCGTTTCTCATCTTCTGTTGGATATGGATGCTGTAAATAAAGAGCGAATAACAAATCATGGAAACACTAAATTTCCATGTATATATATATATATATATATATATATATATATATATAGTATAATTGTTTTATTTGTTGAATTATATTTCTCACAGTCTCAATTACATTTGTTAGTCAAAGTCATCGGTTGGGATATTTACATCTTTTTCCCATACTCTATAACTAACAATTAATGAAGAAGAAACAGCTGCTGCTAACCAAAACGCTTAATACACAAGTTTTCATGATTGTTGTGACATTTTGCATATTAGTGATGAATTCGGCCACACAAATGAGTATTCTCGTTCACACTACTCATACTCTATTATTCCACTGCACTAGGTACAACCTCCTACAGATAATTGTGCAAAACTAATACCATCATCACTTGAAACAGAAGTTATCCTAATAACAAATTGAAAAGTTTCAGGTAGTAAGAGAAAAAGGAGTTACATTTCATTTGTGTACATTTGCTCAACCATTAACATATATATGCCTATTAATTTACGTAGACATGGATTAGTGTACACCTGTTGCTTATCTCAGGCATACTACCCAATTGTACAACTGAATACGGAAAGTTGTAGGGGAAATAACAATTGTTTCAAAGAATTAGTAGGATAAAGGTGAAAAGTATGTTTCAGTTGTTCTCTTCCCCAAAATTCATTCTGTGAAATTGACCCGAACGTGTGCATCAAGTTCAGTGTGGCATTATTATTATTATTATTATTCTACGTTGATTTTTTACAAACAAACCAAAGCCAAAGTGGAAAACTGGTTGCGCCTTATACAAAATTTGTATTAGCAACTGATAAATCAGTTGAATATGATTTGACTACAAAATATTGGTGACTAATTCGAATCATTCAATCAATCATTACTGAACAGTCATCACAGTCTATTGATTTCTAGCTAAGTGAATAAGTTGTTCCAGATTGTATGAGAACCACTACAAATCACTGATTGATAATGTAAAACTATGCATGGGATGTTGATAAATTTGAGTGGAATGGTAGTTCTATGCAATTGACCATCTAATCTATTCAATATGATTTCGTTGAAATATGAATATTTTCAAATGATCATTTATGAGTTCAGTTGATAATTCACGGGAACACCAAATATAAGCCGACAATATTGTTTTCAATTAGATCGGCATCAAGCTTTACTCAAATATACATGAATATTCACGTGAAAATGTTCTAATCAAACAAGGCAATCTAGTATGAGTCAATAATAACAGAGAAAGCGAAAATTCCACAGTGTAAATGATCTTTCAACACAACTGAATGACTCTTAAAAATACAAAGTGAAACACTTAATTAGATTTAGTTTTGATGATTATGAAACTGTGAAGTTTGTTTTAATAAAGAGAGGTTTATTGTAAAAGTGATATGAATTAAAATATTATACCAGTATAACGCCTAAATAAAAGTAATAATAATATTAATATCAAGTGGGATTATTAAAATAAGACAACATGTAAATTGAATATTTTTATTAATTATACTTTCTTCTAGTAGAAATATTCCAGTATATCATAAACTTTCAATATATATTTACTTTCAGTATACAAAATAATAATGTTTGTAAGCCATTGTGAATGTGTATCGGTGTGTGTGTGTGTGTGTCGGAATAGGTGTGAAATTATGTTATATTGTGTGAGTGAACAATGGGATTCACTGATAGAACAAATGAAAATAATTACAAATAATAAGATGACTTATTTGTGCAATGATAATAATAACTAAACACTGGAAAATGATTGTTCCTCAAGTGGTGGACAATGCAACGAGTGATTGTGTGATTGAATAATATGAAACAGAACTCGTGATTTTCACTTGAAGATGTAAGATCACACCAATGAAGTGACGCATATTTATACATTTATATTTTTCCTCTGTGATGTCACAAACGAATACGATATCAACTGGATATCATATCCAACTACTATGTCTCATTTTATTGATTCAGCTGATGATTGTTGCTAGTGATGATATCATTCAGTCAATTACAACGTAGAACTTCGTACATTCGTACTAATGTAAGTACATCAGTTCAAGTTACTATAACACATTGATACTGAGACGCAATTGTCAATTCAAATATCATCGTAGTAGAGGTAGCAGAATTATTAACAGTAATCAAAAGTTTGATTACCTAATGTGTCTTTCGAAATTTATACTGTTGCTATGAGTTACGAATTGTTTGTTAATTTTCATAAATGTTTCTTAAATGGATAGTTTTGACAGATTCAAATGTTTTACCAATAATTCTGCTTCAAACCTCTACAACTTATTCAGTAGAATAGCTCTAACTTCGGGAGTGTAGGCTACAAAGAATTCACATATTTTATGCCGCCCGCTAATGATTCGTTGTGACAAATATGACAGAGTAAATTAAAGATAAAAAGATGCAAACATAACTCTTTTGTTAGTTACTGTTATCGAGATGTTATTCTCTGAGTTTGAGTGATAAATGGTGACTGGTGAAATTCAGTCGATGTTGGATGTGATGTAATGATTCATCATCGACACCGAAACATGGTTGTTTGGATATAGCTTGCTGAGTGGAGTTACTGGATGCCGACTTATTTGTCTAATATTTAGCCTGAATGTTCTGGATTTGACCTGTTCGTGGTTGTGGTATTCACTCCTGTGGAGTCGAACATAGGTATTTGACGATTGCAATGTACTTTCAGATTTTCAGCTGCCATTCAGTTATAATTGGACTCTAATGCATGCTGTGCTAATAAAGAGCTATGGATTTCAGTAGCATCTATTGAACTGGCAGATGCTCGCAAACTCATCCTGTCTGCCTCTGGAAACGATGAGATGTGGAGTCAGCTTGTGAACTGCTTAGATACAAACATACGACTAATCCATGTAATCAATGACAACTCAACTGAGCCATGTTAATATGTGTGGAATACGTGGCTGGTGTCCATGAGACGATAGTAACGGATGTTTAGAGATTTCGAATTACATGGCTCAACATTGAGTACAATGGCGCAGATGCGTCCATTCATTGTCCTCTCTCAAATTCTAATCTTCTGAATTCCTCATGACTCATTTTCACTTTTTAACTTTACTTCATTGAATTGTACTTCTCGAACCATATATTCGATCCGTAATCGATCCAATCACTTCTATATAGTAAGTTGTGTAATCGTCATTGAATCAATGCTTGTAGTGGATATTTTGAGTTACGCATTCAAGTCGAAAATCAATGTGAACAATGAAGCGAATTGGAATGATAAGACCATTTTATCAGAAGAATGCCAAGCAAACACTTTGACCATTCGAATTTCAAAAGGATTATCCCTTGAAAGAAGAAAGTCAGTTACACTTGACAAAATGTATTCACTCACAACACTGATGAATTAAATTCGGATTTGATCATAATGGAACAGTTTGTGAGTAGCATAGCAACATGCCATTTATTCTTTACTGGGAATAACAAGCACAATTATTATTGTGATTATTATTATTATTATTATTATTATTATTGTGATTATTGTGATTATTATTATTATTCATGAATTTTTGATTAGATATGCGACTTAATGGAGAATGAAAATTATTTCCAAAATGGAAAAACTATCGCTCATGTTGAAAAGAATTCACAGCTGATAATTATTGGATTCATTCAATAACAACATAATAATACAATGTGGTTTTTACTGAATCCATGACTGAATAGAATCTGAATAGAATGCGTATGTATACTAGTTTCTAGAATGCAGTAAATATGAAGAGAAAGAGTGAATTGTCTATTCATTTACACGCATTGTTTAGAAATGATTCTTGTTTCCCTAGAATCTCCCTCTGTTGGTCTCTCTCTCGCTGGACGCTACTAAGTGTGTTGTGTGTGTATGTGTATGCAGTTGGTGGATGTGCGGTTCGGTTTTTTTTCAATTGCAAGTAAATAAAAAATTCATAAATAAATAAACAAAGAGATAAATAAATTTCAATAAATAAACAAACAAACAAACAGCATAGTAAATAGCCAGTCATAAGAAGAGTAAAATGTGAATATAAATTCATGATAGACAGGTGTGGAATGATTATCAATTGACTATAAATGAATAAATACTAAATAGGAGAAAAGAAATATGAACAAACAAACAAACAAACCAATAATGATATTTCATTGAAAGCTTACACTACGTAGTGGTTTGCAAGTTTCCCCTTCTCTTTTGTCCACATAATAACAGCTGACTTGAATTTCTATAATAATTTATCATAGTAACTCATATGACTTATGAAGTAAGGCTGATTTACATATTATCATAGCTTAGTGACGGGATGTGCTAAGCAAATTTATGAAATTCATTTTAATTTTCATGAAAAATCAACTTATTACAAATGTTCTAAATGGGGGCATTTCATTCCTCTAGAACTACCGTTAACTGTCTTGAATAGTAAAAACTTGATAATTATTTTGACAGTTCAACTTTATGCATGCTTTTTCTCCATTTTCATAGAATACACAAAATATTCAAAAATTCCTACATATCATCTATAAGAGAGAATACCACATGGAAGTTAGTTTATTTTCAGTGAAAACCACTTCAAAACTTACTAATTTACTAGTTAACAAATATAAGATTTTTCTATCTACTTAAGCTTAATTTAATACATCAAGAGAACATCTACGTTATTAATGAAGTATGAATCAGTTGTAGCACTCTCGTCTCGTTAACGCAACATCCTAAAAGTATACTAAATTAATGCAACAAATCTGTGTGTTGTGTGTTAATTATAACTATTGGCGGTAGCTTATCGAGGTTGATAGATAAAGTGAAATCTCTTGATGCCTATATCCTATCTTAAGGCAGATTTTATTCTAAGACAAATTGTCACTTCTAGATAATAATGATTGAAAATGTTAAACAAAATTAGTATGAAAAACTTCATTGCATGAAATAGTTTTACATCAATTGGTTGTGTAATTAAGTTGTCTATATATTTTAAAAAAATAATGTTATA